AATTCTGTGCTCCATGACCGTTTTTTGCGCGCAAATGTTGTCAGCACCGCAGTTGCACCTAGTTAACCGTCGGTTCTATATTCTCCATATATGGGATTGCTCATGCACCCTGCACATGGAAGCCTTCGGCTTTGTTGCATTTTCTGTGGCGGCAAAGCAACTGGCACGAGATGCCCGACGTAGATAACGTCTGAACACATTAAAACCGCCCCAGCATAGTTTATACACCGGAAATAGACTACGAAGAAAAACATAAACAATGAAATGTATGGGAAAAACAAATAATTATAACATGTCCATACTTGGAAGCTATAATTGGAGGAAAAGCTGCGATCATTTCGTAATAAAGCCTATTCCAGGAATTTATGTCTTGATTATTTTTGTTCACTATTATTTGGTAATTTCTATATTTATTTGCTTGTATCGGTAAGATTTTCTACAGATAAGAACAATAATATTTTCGTGTTTTCAACAAAAGAAATGATGTAAAACGGCATGGAATCAACAAATACTATGAGGCGCTGCATTTCATTTTGTCCGGCCGCGACGCACGCGCACGCGAGGAATTTTTTTTTGTGATAACCACCCTCCCTGAGGCTCACGGTTCATGTAAAAGTCAGCCAATCCAAGAAATTACATCTAGAACCATATGTCATGCATATGTTCTTATTTTGCACAATTCCTTCGATCATATGTGGGCGCAAGCACGACACGCGACGCATACGCCCACATATGCAGCACGCTCTAGGGATGTCGCATTAAGTTTCTCATTGTCCAAGCAAAGAAAAACAGGGATAGCATCAGTGTTTGAAATTTAAAGCTGGTTCTGTAGAAGTCGCATTCGCTACGCATGCGCTCGCCACCACAGCTGCGTTTTCGAAAATCACCCCAGTTTACGTCGAATGGAGTCTGCACTTCAATAAGCTGTTACTGTTGTTGAGATTTTGTTGAGATGTTCAAGCCCTTGTAGGCGTGGCCGCCTAACGGAATTTATTTCTTTAAATAAGCATTCTCGAAGATTACCGAATTTTGTGTGCCATTCCAAGCCTCAAATTCCGAATAATTTCTCCCAGGAACTGACGCGACGTATCGCCAATATATCTCCACTTTTTGATGAAACGAAAAACTCTAGAAGTCATCGAATCCGGAGGCCATCGCTGTGAAACCTCGCATGCGCGTGTGCCCGGAAACGTGAGGGGCAGCTGCAGACTAGAAAGCAGCAATTTCACTTTCCACTAGAATGGAAACAAAGTGCGGCCTTCGAGGCCTAGTGGCTCGGTTCGGGTTTTTCAGTGGCCACAAATTTGTTTCGCGCACTGTGTCGTACAGACAACACACACGCAGCGACGACGCACGCGCAGCTATGCGAAGCGTAGAAAAAACCGCAGTGTCAAGTCGTTAATCAGCGCTCTGAGGTCTCTTTGTTAGGAAGCAGGGAATCCGAGGCGAAGGAGGGCTAAGAGGCTGCTGGTTTGCTGCTTCTACGGCCGGCTACTGGCCAGTCTGCCTCATCTGCTGTCGTTTTTTCGTTCGGCGACCACCCACAGCTTCGCCCCAGTGAAATCATTGCTGTCGTCATTTAAATTGTCGAATGCTAGACAAAGGATTTGAAATTTGTCAGAGTCTTTTGTTCAAAGAGCTAAGCAGATAGCCGTACGACATCTCAGTAAAAATAGGGTCATTTCCACCACTTTGCTTCAGTCATATTTTAAAAAACTCATACTGTCAAAATGTCGGAGGAAATGTGTATCAACCTCTCAAAAAATTTCCCCATATCTTTTTGGGAACATTTTCTTGTGTCCGATATATTTCATGCCGATTTTGCATGAACTCTACAAACTCGAGCGACAAAAATTTAACCTCGATATTAGTAAATTTTGATTTTTAGGTACTCATGGACTATGCGAAAATCCTTAAATTATATCAATTCCAGTACATTTAAACTCAAAGGTATGACGGTTTGATCAAATTGAAGGAAAGGGATGCGGTGGTAGATGAAGTGCAAGATCTGAGCATGTATTTGCTCTTGTTATAATACACATTTTTTATTATTTTTGTTACATCACCTATTTAATTTTATAGTAACAAAACTGTAAAATTAGCAGACTCAACATTTCTGAACTTTTTTTATCTTTCAAATTATCTTGTAAGCGATTGAGAAAATGATACTGGCAAAAAAGATGTATTCTCAAAAACTTTCCAAATCCATTTCGAAACTTCGAAATCATTCTGATAATCTCTAACATCCACTCCCAAAATTTACTGGAGTATTCTGATTGAAAAGTCCAATGGTGAAATATTTTTTTATTTCGTGACATAAAACGTCGAAGATATAACTGATCAATCATTATAACAACAGCTTGCAGTGAAAAATCACTAAATTGACTCTACATTTACTGATAACGATTTCTACATCAGCGTCAGTTTGATGTAAAAAATCAACTAGCAGCCAGGAATAGAGCTGTATGGGTTCGAAAAAGTAAATTGAACATAATCTAACATAATCTCAACTATCGTCTATACGTTTTAGTCACTATTGCATCTATGAATGGATATTTTCTGGAGGAACTATATAGAAATTTTAGATCAATTATTGGCGAACTTTTAGCGAACAATAATAAAATTCAATAAAAAAAATCAAGAACCCTTGTTGCTGATATTCACCACTGTCGTCTTGCAGATGTTTACCCGTCGAGCATTCCGCAACAGTATCGCTACAGTATGCGTCACAGTGACACCTTCGCTCGAATGTTTTCCTTGGTTGTCATACCTCAACATGCTCCCTACAGATGCCGTTGTTTCGAGTTTCGAGCTTGCTTGTGCTAACCACCGTAGAGCATGAATCAGTCGGTTTTTGTTTTTGGGTAATAGGTTAGAAGGATCGCCATCTCACACACATGGGCGTGTGTGTGATGCCCTTTTCAACGCTGATGTGTTGTTTGTGCTGTGTGGGTGAGGTTTTTTCGAATCGCCACAAGTGATCGTTCGTCGTTTGAATTCACACACGCACACAGAGAGCTAGCAAAAGCGACAGAAAACTCGCAAAACCATAGATTTCAAGGCGACTTTGTGAAAAACCATGCCGCTAACTTCGAAAACATATGGGTTGGGAGAAAAATCTCATCGCTGAACCCTTGCCAATGAACAGTTTTAGCGACAGTCTAAGCAGTCTTCACTCTTTATGTACGGTGGATTCATTTATTTGTTGATTTGTGAGGTTGCACACCGTGCGCGTCACTCCACGACACCTAGTAGACAGTCGGTAGTTCCGAGTGATTTCACAGTAGAAAACCATTAATTCAAATCCGTTGGACACGATTCATCTCATGTAGAGACAGGACGTCATGGCGGGAAGGTCTGCGTCTCTCGGATTGAACACATTTTCATTGCTCTAACCGTCTGCTGTCTCTTCTTTGCGCGTACTATCTTGATTGGACGCAACACGTGCAGTCTTTGCGTGCAATGAATTGTCTATACGAGCTCAAGAAGAAAAGATATAGGAAAATTTTTGATAGTTGGCAGCTTGTGAGTGTAAGATTCCTGAAATTCCGCGCTTATGTGCAACATGCTTTTCCCAAAACTTTTGGGTTACAGCACGCGAAGACTTCGCAAGCCATTCGAAAAAACTTCGGGAAAAATTTCTTTGCCCCCCCCCCCCTCACCCACTAAAGAAACTTCCACTGATCTCCACTGCTGCTATGATATGAGTATTCATTTCCGAACCACTTATTCGCAAATTCTACTAAACTTGCAACTGAGGAGTCCTGAGGTCCCGCGTGGAATGTGCAGCTTTCATAGTTGCATATAATTCGACTGTACATAAAAAATTATGAATCTTGTGATCTCCCCCCCCCCCTCCCATCTCCCTCCTCCTCTCCTGCTCTCATGATTGTTTTATGCGATGGACCACCTGTCTCATAATAACCTAATTACGCTTATTTACCCATCACTTAATGCGCGTAAACTCGGCACCAAAGTGACGCTAAGCTGTGTTAGCGCAATATACACTACGTTATCGTAGTTGACCGTTGCTAACACCTGCGTTGCGCAAACGATAAAAAAATTCGGGGATCACCGGACGCACGGACGTGCGGAAATCTGTCCGTACGTAACCGTATGCGCAACTTACGATGTGGCGCAAAAATCCCGGAAATGCGCTCGCGCTTTGCTATGAAATCTGAGAGGTCTGGGAAATTGAGCAGAGAAAGGTGATTCTGGGGTTAGGAGTAATAAAAGGTCAATTGGGACATGTTTAGCAGTGAATAGCGGAAAATCTTAAAAAGTGTGTTTTAAAAAATGAAAAGGCGGAGCAAGCGGTTTACGCGCCGTAACAACCAATAATAGATCTTGAGCAATGTACACATAATTTGAAAAGCTAAGAAGCTTTGAACTCTCCTTATCTACGAAAATCTGGATTGAACTTACTGACATTTCCAAAAAATCCATTTTTGATTTTCAAATTTTTCCGTAACCATAGTTCCAATAATTTTTTGGACAAAGAATAATAGATTAGCTTTTTCCTTAAGCTGCTTGGTCATTTTTGGAATGAATTTAGCACGAATATCTGTTATACTTTTCTGCAAATTCTGCGTATGTACGCAATTGCACATGCAATCAGCTTGCGCTGAACAAGCATCCAAAGGTTTTTGAAAGAAACGTCCGTTTCAAATGATATTCTGCTATCATAAGGAACTGAGCTCTGAATTTTTGAAGAAACTTTTGGATTAAAATACGATTGTTAATAACTTTCGCTGCTTACCTAAATTTTTCAATGCTGTCTTTGCTCAACTAATTTCTGAGTAAGTCCTAATAAATGAATTTATTGAAAAGGTAAATGAGTTGAATAAACAACGTTGTTTGCGATTTTACGTTCCTAGGCTTTCGCATTTTTCTTGCGTCCACAACCCTCTGTAAGCGGTCCTACTCCAAGTTTATCTTATCTAACCTAGAATTAAGCATTTCCCATGGCAAAACAATCATTTAGCGCCTAACTGTCTTAAATGGTCCTTCGCATCAGGTGTGAGTAGATCTATCGATGAGGTGGTTGAAAGCGCCGATGGCCATACTTCACTCTACTCCACGAATTACCCGCAGTGCTTTCGCAGCAGGTTGCTCTGACCCCTAAATGCTCGCATGGAATTATGAAAGGTGTGTGGGAGTGGGAGGTTATAGACCTTAGAAAGTGAGAAAACAACTAAATGCCTTGCCATCTGAGACGTCGGTGGGAATTTGTTGTGAGCGAGATGTTGGTGATGTGAGCTGTGAACAATATCGGCAAAGTGCTTTGAATCAGTTGGAAAGGTTAGCTGACAGTCACTGTAGAGAAATTTTGAGGAGAGGGTAAGGGGGGAAAGTGGAATAGATTAGAAAGTTACCACTGTTACTATTCTCATTCAATTTTGCTTATCATTCTGCATAAGTTATTTGCACTGAGTTCTCATCCTCGCAATTGGTGAGCGAAAATAATAAGGATCCGCAAATAAATTCTGATAAACCAAAGAAATATTGATGATTTGTTCCGTTGATAACTTTCCCCTGAGTGAAGGTTACTAAAGTTATTTCGATTGCAATCATTCAAAGCAATATTATTACATTCGGGTCAGATATTGACCGAAAAGTGGAGCAGCTGCGCCGTGCTGCAACCGCGTCGCGGCTCATTATCGTCGTCGCTGTGCTGAAAGAAGGCTGAATTGAAACAGCAAAAGTTGCTGATTTCTCCGCAGCAACTTTCAAAAAATTCGTATATCCAAGAGAAACCTTTAAATCTCCCGCGAATTATTTCTGAAGCTTTTCTGTGCTGAAGAAAATACCAAAATAAAATTTGTATTACCCTATTCTATCTATAAAATAAAAAACAAAAATAGAATAAAATTTATCAATATAAAATATTATAGAAATAACAGTAAAGAAATTAAATAAAAATTTAGTGTTATTTTTCACGTAGTGAGGATAGAAAATTCGCTATTCTGATAAAATATTAAGCTTGTTGAGCTTTTCTACACTTAAATAGGGAACAGACAAACCGCTAAGATGATCAACCTCTATATTTTTTGTATTTATTTGAAATTCGACCCAAAAAATCCATATAAAATCCTTCCGGTGGCATTCAAGGATTAGTTCAACATCATAGTTCACTTTTAAAATATCGAATTCACCCTTAACTCTCAGATCACATCCATATCCGGTGTCATTGACAGATCAAGGGGGGTTCAAAAACACATAGAACATCCGGTTGGGACGCCCCCAGTCACGTACAGCCATCTGCACCTCATTCCTTCATATTTCTCGCTTAGCGAGAGCTAGGCTCTCCCTATCTTCCCAGGAACCTCAGCTAGTTATAATTGAGGCTAAGATTACCTCTGCTGTTGATTACTGTGAGTTTCTGTGACGTCAGCTGTTGACAGGTCGCGCAGTAAACAATAGCGGATTACCGTACGGGCTAAGGCTTAGGTCATTTCCAGGTGCACTTGACGTGCTTGTTGAGGATATATTATGTGGGCAGAGGTGTTTAGGAGGGTATAACCAAGAAATGTGGGCTCTAAGACGGGTTAGAGAGTAAAAAATGATTTTGCCCACGATTTGTGCCAGCAGAGCTCATTGACGCTTCAACAGTGAGCATTTGTGATCTGCGCGTTCATCCGGTTGCATTTTGCGTTCTCTGGCGCTGGCGAGGCGTGCGGCTCCGGCCCATCGGTGAGTTTTTTTTTAACTTTTCTTTTTAAACAAAACCTTTATGGTTTGGTATCTTGTCCAGATAGTCCCAAATAGCTCTACATCTATCCATTCTCGTTGGGGCGCCACGATTTCCCGCAAATCAGATAGGGATATAGATGGCTATTGTGTGTTTATGCTGGTGTGCGCTAGGGCACAAATTCTCCCTCTACCGCTCAATTTTCATGACTCGTACATATGTCTATGTTATGATCGTACACATGACACATACACCCAGATACGCTCATATCCGTGGAAAATCCATTTTCCATCGGCGTGATGCGTATGCACGGAGATTTGCTCTTTTTTCATTGCTGTTTAGCTATTGTTGTGGTGTACTTTTACCGCACTAGCTGTGAAATTACGAATTGAAAAGATCCTGGTCGATAGGTCCAAGGAAATCAAAGTTCAGTGATAGAAATCAAAGGATGTACTATAACAGTAGATGCGCTCTTTGACTTCAATTGGTGCCCCTTCTAACTTGATCATATGGATTGCAATAGGACTTGCAATTCACAGCCTACAGTACACCTGTATACACCTGTGTTTGGCCATCTTTTGAAAAGCTCTCCAGGGAGTTACAGATTTACTAGTTGATAATTTTCCAAATAACGCTCTATAACGGAGGTCGGAGGTTTCTCTCTGGAAAACATTTATGCGGAATTTTAATCATGGGAGGAGAAACTTCGTTGAAATAGCCCAAAAGCAGTTATAATTTTCTGAGCGCTACTCGATAGATATGAAAACCACAAGAGGCATGCGCGGAATCGAGTATGGACCTTCTAGCATTGATCGATATGTATCATGTACATGTGCAAGTTTCACTTGCGCTTACGCTTCCATCCTTCTCCGGCTCCTGTACTGAGTATATTAGGTGATAGATCAATGTCCAGATTGTCGATTATCCAATATCTTTTTGTGTGCAAATTGAAAAAGCTATGAAATTGATGACGTTTTGAGTTGTCATGTAAACTAACGACACTTTGCCTTCGCTAAATAATATAAGGACACTGCACTCTTTGAACACAGACAGTTTGCATTGATGTCAGCAATCCTTTTTTGTACACGAATTCAGCTGTAAAGTTTGACCTCTAGCTCACAAAGGATTTACAGCTGAATTTAGATTGGAGCCGATTGTCGATAAGTGATGATCGGCTTTTGACCAAGCTCTCAGCTTTTTCCTCTCTTGCGGCGCCATTTCACGCTTTGTATCTAGCTGGGTCATACATGAGTCAAAACTAATTGCGGACCAATCTGTCAGTTTTTGAAAATGTTTTCTGTCTTCTTCTGTTGCATAGAGGCCAGCTTGTCTGTGTATCCGAATATCTGCTAAAGCTTGTGCTGTGGTAGGTCTTAAATTGCAGTTACACCCAGCTGATAACAGTCACGCAATCTATTTGCCTAAGGCCTCGGACAGAGCTCACGCGATTTGATCATCGCGATTCAATCGCTGCACACAAGTGTTACGAGTCCATTGCATGCCGATCTTCTTGTATATCGGTTGTGATAGTTAGTCACGATTAGTCGTGTTGGAAAACTATCACAACCGAAATGCAAGAAGATCGGCTTGCAACGAACTCGTAACACTTGTCTGTAGCGATTGAATCGCGACGATCAAATCGCGTGAATTCTGTTCGGGGCCTAATATATATGATTGTGCATCTTTAAAGCTAAAAGTTGGCTTCTTGGCATCCAGTATTATCTGCTCAGTGATGTATAGCTATAATTACTTCAAAGAGCGGATATCCTACCTGTCTCGTATTTTTTAAGCTGTGAGATGGATGAAAGGTTTTTCAGTCAGAGGCTCCTCTACTGAAACCCATCAGTGTGAGCTTGGAAAGTTCGCAACGATGGTCCTTACCAGAGAGGTCTCCGAGTAAAGCCTATATAGGAGTTTTGGACAGAGAATCAAGTTTTGCTCCGTCATCACCCGTTTCTGTGAATCAGTAAGTCAAATGGGAGAGGAAAATAATACTAATTAATCCCTTCGCTACCTACTTTGAATCTGATGAATCTGATAAATCTTTAAATCTGATTTTCGTAGGGTTGGTTTCCAAGCGATCAATCCGAAATCATTCTCGCGAGCTACAAACATGCACTATCATCATTTTTGTTGTAAATCGTTGTATGGGACGAGCGTGGATTACTTTGCTAGTCTTCAATCCCTCATAGGACCAGTTAATGCATCGTAATGTGCGAAAATTTGTTGTACAACCATCTCTGCTAGCTGTGAAGTTTTATTCACACGTGTGAGTTTCTTTTCGATGTAGAACTGTAAAGTTAATTTGTTACATGAAATAAGTTGCGATTTTTGACATATTGAATAGATCTATGCTACGTGGAGAGTTTTCCTCCGTTTTCATTTGTTGGACAATCAATTTTGTTTTGTTCTCGATACGGTAATTTTAGAAAAATTAGCGCACCGTGTTCAGATCATCTGTGATTTTTTTTTATTACATTCAGTTTTTCGTTCTATCATATGCATTTGGAAGAAATCGCTCCGCTTTTATCGACGCGAGGAAACTAGAGGTAGTGCGAAATGATTTCAAACCGTAGATTTTCTCATACTGTGGTGTACTGTAGAGTTTTGCATCGTTAAGCAATTTATATGGCACCAGACGTCTGTCGTTCCCTGAGGATTATTCGCTATAGTTAGAACGACTATATTGGTAGATACGCAGCTTTCAGAAATCACATGTCTGCTTTGTGCATTTTCATATGTTTTTTGTTGTTACGAGCGAGGTCGTGTTTGCTGATTGGTAATGCTGCGAAATGCGGGAAAATGAGGTGCAATATGCATCGTTCGATAGGCTTAATGTTCTACTAAACGTATAGTATGGAAGTTATATCATAACAAATAATAACTAAAATATCACCTGGCTTGTACGAGCCCTTATGCCAGTTTAGAAGGGTTGAAATTCAAGGAATAGTTGGAGCTTTTAAGTGATATCATATACATTATGGTTGGAAAAGAGAGCTTGCTATATGTTTGTGCAGGGGAAATTTCCAAATAGCTGACTTAGTGTTGCTGTAAATTGGATGCGGGAAGTGCTTCTATATCCGAAAAGTAGCGATGTATGTAAAACACGTTTTCCGGAAATTTCTGCTGTACAAACATATTGTATGGTTCCTTTTTCTATATCCAGATACGATATTTCTAATAAGGGTGTTTTGATTCAGTTGCCTGGATATTTTCAGAATAACGATCGTAGGCGCACCACATATTTTGAAAATAGAAGATCATCTCATGAATAATATAGCTCGACAATGATCATTTACGGCGTTTCATTTGTCTGCATTTTCCAGTTTTACCATGACAGTTTCTACTAAGTTTTCTTTGGTTATGCTACTTCCTAAATATGTTGGATTCTCCAAAAGTATGGGTAATCTAAATGCATGCCGCTTTAAACATATAATTGTTGCAATGTCTTTGCGTTGTAGTGAGATTAACTTCTCAAAGTAACTTGATTATTTCCTTATTAATAAGCGAAGACACTTTGAAGTAGATAAAATAGTCATTGGCCAGAAGTAGTCGTCAGCGGTCATTAGCCTGAAGCTACTGTTCCAAAGGTTTCTAGGTGCAAACGAAATGACCAGCTAGCTGTAAGAGTCTCTTAGAAATCTATCAAGACTAATTTTCGCCATCTAGATAGCTTCACCTAACTTTCCCTAACCGGATGTTGTATTCTAAGGCATATAGAATGAATAACGACTCCAAGTTTGGTTAGGGTTGCACAAAGTGCATCTTATCTTACGGCAATTATGGTGGAAAACTCTTGCCCTTCTGAGTAATCACTCTGTATCTGAGAAATGTCTGGTACCGCTTGGTACATGCCTTGCAACACACTTCAAGAATTGGTTACTGAATTTGCAAGATATGATGTGTGAATGCAAAGCAATGCATTACTTCGCACCACAGTCTCTTTTTTGGGCATTTTTGCAGAACTTCGGAAAATTTAGTTACCAGTAATTTTTACAGTATGATTTTGCGGTCTTATTGCCCAAATGTTCTTTCAAAGACCCATTGCGGTCAGATTTTGCTCAAGTGGGTGGGTAGAGAGCTGGTCTTGACTCTAGGAGGCGGTGCCCAAGAAAGGCTGTTGCTGGGTGCTATTGCTGGAATGCTCCGCCCCCTTGAACCCTATGCGTACTGTTGCGCGCACTACCCATTCCCTAATTCGCATCGGTTTCCTGTTGTGGAGCTGCTGCCGTAGAGCTGAGCTGGTAGAACTGTTCAGTTGTAATTATCTTGGTTGATGTGTAGGTATCATCTGACTTTAACGGGTTGTTAATAGTCCATGGGTGTCTTTATTTTGGCAAAGTTTTCTTCTTCCATCATATTAATCACCTGTTTGGGATAGTTTCTGAGCATTTTCTCCGTTCACTTTCCTGAAGTCGGCAAGAATGCTCAGGCCTAAAAGTTTACCTGGTAAGGCTCTAAACTTTTCTTCTAGAGCTTTTGCTTATTCGGTTGTTTCTTTAACTTTTCTCATTTTCTGTAATTCATCCCAGCTTTTGATACCTTCTTCAAGAAATCAACTTTCACCGTTATTACAGTAATCTTGGCCGTACTTGTTTTTCTGAGGGGTTAGGTAGCTCTCTTAAATATGAAGACTAAATTTTATATCATAACCTGGCACAAATGTTTCGCCCTAAATCATGTCTGGTATACTGTAGTTGACATAAATTTGGCGCACAAAGCGTTCCGGATCTATTGTCACATGCTGTATTCTCTGAAAACCTCCATGTTTATCGTGCATCACTCATACAAGCGTATATTGCCTAAGTAATAAGGTAACATAACCATATAACAACGAAAGCAATTTATCTCGTTAGTTTACCGACCCTCATAGACACACCGCGTAGGCGTGGCCTGACACCGTAATGCCATTCAATGCCAATTTCAGTCATCGCAAGTCTCGATCTCTCGTGTCCTACGCGTTTCGGCTTTGCTGCTGCTATTGGTGGTATTCCTAGTGTACCAATTGGTATTGTGTACTGATTCGGCTTTTCGTGTGCTGTACTGTGAAGTGCACCAGAGGACAGAACTTCGAGATGATGATGACGAATGCAGCCGACGAACTGGCCTCATCGCTTCGTTGTGCCGAGTTCCTAGCCGACTCGCCGAGCACATCGACACTTTTGCACCATCATCAACATCAACAGACAAGAGTGGGACCGATCACGACGAATGTACAGTTCGCACATCATCATGATCATCGTCGACGAGCTGGACGTGTTGTGTTGCAGAACGTGAACCAGAGAAGATTGAGCAGTCATGGCCAGGTAAGCTTTTCTATACGCATCTTTTGTTCTCCTCTCTACTTCCTCGTTTTTATTTTGTCTTGCAGTTCCTTCTTCGTAGATATAAACTCTTTTCCGCTCTAGCTCAACTCTCAACGCACCGTCCAAGGTTTCTCTTTGTTCGTTGCGCGTTCTCCTCACGACTTACATCATATGCGCGCCAGATGTTGCCTTTGCTGCTGTGAACCTCCTCTTCATATATGTTATGACTCTTGGTAACTTGTGCCAGTTACATAGTTGTAACCTGGTGCTAGATGGGCGTAGGCTTCTGTTAGGGGTGAGCAGGGGAATGTTGACTGATATGAGGTGCGGTAGGTACTGTAAATATGGGGGACAGGAAGGTTTGAGGTAGGAAAGGATGGAAAAGGGGAATGATGGGATCACCATTTTCCAGAAGTCAATCTCGGATTTGTCCTTCACTGGTTAAAGTTCTTGACCTTGTGGTCACGTTGTTTACTGAGAGATGGTATCATAGGATGTCAGATCATCTGTAGTGTTGCTGTAATCGCATAAGGTATACAATTGAGCATACCTTCCAGACAGCACAATAAACGAGGAAAGTTCAGCTAATTTCTGGAAGTTTTTGGTTCCCAAGCCTGAACGAAAAGCGCAGCAGAATGACGTGGAATTAGGGTCTTCAAAATTATCAACAAAAACTTCTCAAGGATGTAAGATGCCTACCGTATTTCACTTTGTTTTTCCTATGGTAACTTAAGCTCAGTAGCTGCGAATTTCGTTCAACCCATCCAAACTATCTTGCTTTTGATTTAGAAGAAACTGAGAAAGATTATATCTCAGATTCAGATTCTTAGCTCAAAATATGTTCTGTATCCTTTTCTTCTGTTTTCGCTTCTCTCGTGACTAATTTAGCCCCGCTTTGATTGCACAATTGTTATCAAATGCGATATACCCTATGAAAAAACACGGCCGTTTGATATTGAGCAGTGAAAAAAGCGATTGGCGCACATTTATCGCGCATAGGATGTGTCCCTCCCATGTATCCGTGTAATTACATACCAGTGTCACATGGTTCGGAATTGCTCACATACATAGATGTATCGGGGTTGCGTTTCCCATCGTAGGCCATATGATTTTTTCTCTATGGGTCCGTGCTACTTCTGCTGCTGATGGTGGTGTACTTTAGTGACACGCCCCATAGCTCTCGCCTTACAAGACATGGCTGCTGGGGTAGTTAAAGGTCAGAAATGTGCCGTTGGCAAGGTTATGGGAGAATTTTTATTGTTATTCCAAATGCGAGCTAATACGCTAGTATCGGCAGCCTAAGCTGAAACCACTACGTTCCACCGGTTTTCCACGCTAATTACGCATTGTCAACAGCCGAGCGATCGTCTTTTCCGACGTAGATTTTCAACGTTGATACCGTTGACGATTTTGGAGGTTGAGGAATGTCTATTGATTGATATTGATGAGAATGTCTTGGGTCTTGTAAAAGCGATATTGTCTTGGATGGGATAAGATTATCTCGATTAGCTAGGAAATTGAGGGTTTAAACTGACACGCCCATTTTTGGAATAAGTTAGCATCTGTTTGAAGGAGAGTAAGCAGTGGACGATGTGTCTCTGAGGCTTTTCTACTTAGGCTATGCCCTTATGTATTAATCCTTCATTCAGAATCTCCAATCTTCGTCTGACTTCTTTACCACTTTTTTACTCAACCGAGTAGTTTTTTGGCACATTGGATTTTTGTAGGCTCAGACTGTGGATTAACCTCTTTTTTTCAGCCGGGTGTGATATCCCGCAAACGGCCTTCTACTGTTGATCTCCGCCTGAACACTGCGCAACACCCTTCGGTGCCGAGCTGTCACGATCGCTCCATCCATTTCGATGAACGCGTTCTGGAAAATTTGCTCATCGCTGAGGTATAGCCTAGTTGGGCCTTTGTTGCCATTTTTGCGAAAAACTTCAATTTATTATTATAAGCCCTCTTTTTTCAGGAAAACCTCAAATCGAACCATCTCTACTTCACAGCAGTCCAGGAACACATCGAACCAATCCACCGTGAACAAGCAGTGGAATGGATCTACGATGTGGCAAAGGTATCGGTTGTCTCTTTTGCGACACGAGTATTGCTATAAATAATGAGCTGTGATTATCTAGGAAGAGAAGTGTGATGCGGACGTATTTCCGTTGGCGGTGTCTCTCATTGATCGTTTCCTCTCCCTGCAGAATATATTTCGGCAAGACATTCAGGTATTTTCTTTAGTTGGAAGCTATTCTTGTTTTTTGGCGCTTTTGTTTCTATTCGGCTATGGATCCTCGCATATCCTGCTAATTATAGGTCTTGGCTGGCGTATGTTTATTTATTGCTAGCAAGGTGAAGGCACCGCAACCAATGAATGCGGCACGTGTATCGTACTATACCGCGGATAGCGTGAAGGTTCATGATGTTTTGGTAGGTTAAGGTTAAATCTGTTTTTGGACAATTTTTTGAATACGCGCTTCGCTTTCAGAGCTGGGAATTGTTAGTTCTGGCTCATTTGAACTGGGAGATTACCTCACCCACCGGCTTCGACTTCTTCGACCATCTGTCAGCCCGACTACCCTCTTTGCAAACCTTGCGACCAGCGTTCACCTCGATTCTGCATAAAATTCAACGCTGTAAGTTTTCATTCTATAGTTTTTGTGAAAACTCGAGAAAATGCTTTTGCGAAGTAGGTAGTTTTTGTACTTCCCGCCTCTACCTTTTTTCATCCCAGCTTAGTTTGTGAATTGTTGTCGCGGTGTTCTTCTCCTTTGAATTAATCGGATCCGCAAACTTGTTTGGTTTCTCGAAGCATCGTGGGTGGTCCAAGTGAATGCTTCGGCGATTAAAAAGCTGGCTAAAGGCGTAGAAATTTTATTTGCAAATGATAGCGGGTTCCTCGAAACGTGAGCATCCTGGGTAATCTTGGATGGTCTTTACCTCTTCGTCATCTGACGCTAGTGGCATGTTTTTAGCATGCAGTATGTCCTTTGATCCTCTGTGCTCATAAGAAGAGCAGTTGCGCAAATCCCTTACCCAATGAGGTCAATATCCTAGGCCTTGCGAAATTCTGAAGATGACCAGTGGACTCACATGTTCGCTGTAGGTAGACCACCTGGGGCAGCGAACAATGTGCTGTGTTTATGATGCGAATGATTGTTAAAGGAAATCATCGGTCGTCCTTAACCTTTTGCCAGCTCACATTGCGCCTCATTGCCTCGTTTGACGTGCGGTGTTTGTCGAATCCTTGGGGCGACCTGGCACCCAGTGTGTGTTGGTGGCGTGACCTCCCAAGGAAGTCACCATCATCAACCCTGTTCGGAATGTGTCCCCGATGCACTTCGTTCCTTTACCTCACCAATTCAGCTAGGAGGACACGGTCGTGATAGCGGTGTATAGTGATGGTCGCGTGTCCTTTTACGGGATGAGGATGAGGTGAAGGTGAATAGAGTTTGAGGTGAACAAGTTGACGAATCCGTGTCAAACACACAGACATAGCTCGTACGTCGTCTAATCTGCATTACAATACACCTGTGCCTAGGGTAGACCACACACATCGTGCCTCCTTCTCGCGCAACACAATTTAATGGGAATTGTCATGTAAAATCGTTTTTTGCGAGCGTTTTGGGAGGTCTGAAAGGAGGATGTGTTTTTTTTTTTGTAATCGGATGCTGCAGTGATGAAATAGATAGGTGAAGGTCTTACAATATGAACTGCAGCGACTTTACAAAGGTACTTTCTTTGTTTAGTCTTGTACTCTTTGAGATTACGATCTAGGTAACACTTTGGGTGGCTTTCGGGAAGTTACCCTAAAGAATCTGACCCAGTTTGGGTTTACTTCAAACAACGGTGCGTTTAAAATTTTGGAAGAACGCGCTGTAGATGTGCTGACACTCAACTGTGTAAGGTGCCTACCGTATCCCTCTTCTTCGAAACTAGTTGGAAGCTCTTACCTGCGCTTTCGCCTTACCTCTCCTTGTTTTACAAGTTACAGTAATCTTGATAATACAAGTTGCACTCTTACCGTTTACGCGACTTTTTCGCTGCCATCTTAGCCGCTTTTTTCGTACGCATCGGCTTCTCGCATGCGCGTATTTTTTCTGTAGTTTCCGCGCGGCTGACTACCCGATTTTGGGCTGTCGGCATCTTTGCAAAACAGAGCTGAGAATAATCGTGGCTGGCCTTTTTTGGCTTCTTTTCTGGCATTCACTAGAGCACTGAACGCATCGACTAGCATACGTTCTCGTGTATGCGTAGGGTTTTTCTAGATTATGGGAATTTCTCAGCTTTACTCTCCCGTCCCAATGCATTATACCAATCATTAACTGAGTAATTATGCAAGAAAAGGGTCCCCTAATCGGTCATCGGATGAGTTGCAGTGTCGCGTTGATTGTCGCTCTTGCTGCTGGTTAATTCGGCTCTATCCTATTCTATTCTTGTACAGTAGAGATTTAGGGCGCGCACACATCAAAACCATCTGCTGCTTGACGCGAAGAGGAAGAGGTCGTGATCAAGCGTTTTTGAGTCACGTTGTCTCGGGATACTGTGTGCAGAGGGGGGGGGGGGGGGGGTAAAGATGAGCATAGTTTGGTTGAGGTCAAAGGTTGGCCGAAAGTTAATAGAGGTTTGTAAACTAATGTAAGATATAAAGCTGAGTCCCCGATGCGTTAGTTGTCTCTTCAAAGTCTTGAAATGAAATGCATAATTTTACAGCTTTCATTTGATTTTGATTTGATAGGTCTCTTAACGTTTTCCTATTCAGTGGCGCAGTCAAAAAAAATCATTGTTTGGAATTAGCCATGAGCCAATAGCACAGTTAGTTTAGAAGTGGTGTATGGTAGGGTTATTGTAGAATCCATTTTGAGTGCCTTAATCAGTCTACTTTGACTTCATATGCCATCAGCTTAGAACTGAGACAAATTTTTCAAATGTTCCTCCGTTCACCTGAAAAGATTGCTACCGTTTTTTTGTGCAAATCTACTGTTCAAACGTTCACAACGGCGCCAACCTGTCACACCTAGTCAAATGTGCGGTACGTTTGCGCGCTCTGTGACAATCTGACAACATCGCCAATTCGAAAGACCTTCGGCAGTCTCTCCAAGCAGCTCAGCAGCAATTACGCGCATACCTCATCTCTTCGTGCTTGCCGTGATGATGTGACGGCAGGTTTGAACGGTATATGTTGGTATGGGCAGCTTACCATACCCACACACGCACTGCTGGCAACAGATGTGCAGCGGCATTCCACTGCGCCGCTTGGCCTCTGACCATCGTAAGCACGTCTAATGACCTCATCAGGATGGATCTGTAATTAGTTGGAGATGTGAGGTTACCTGGAGCGGTGAAGAGGGCATTTGAAGTAGCCTGAAGGAGCATGCGAGGTGTTTTGTATAGAATCCCGGTAGCATGTTGGGTGGTGAGTGAACTTGGGTAACTGAACCGAGGTCACTCAAAGTTGCTTGTTCAGCTTTTAGTTGATTTTGCAATTTAGAAAGAGTTTGTAAATTGCAGTAATGCATATTTTCTTTTGCTATATATAAGCTAAGGCCGAATCGCAAGCCCCAAATGCAGAAGCCAAAAGTGCGTAACTTCATCTCGTTCCCGCCTGAGTTCCGGTCTTTTGTCACCTTCCTTTTTTCTCCCGTTTTTTAAAACTTTTCTTTTCAAATTTACGAAAACTTTCGTTGTTAGCTGAGAAGTGTGACATCCTATGTCGTGTCGGCACAGTAGCACAAAGCGATCGACCTTCCCGTTTATTCGGTATTCGGAGTTGGTTGTTGGTGTTATCTATTTCATCTCGGCAACTCGACAACCTTGTCGTCTTCGCCGTCGACGATGGCGCGCCAGCACCGCCGACGCATGCGCAACGGCACCGGCACGTCGTTAACACTACGCATACACACTCGGAATTAATCGCTATAGGCGAGATTGCAATCTTCACTGAACGCGTTTAGGTGATGAGGCGCGAAACCGTAGTACAACGATTAGTTATGTATAGTGTGATAGTGTCAAGGTGTTGAATAGTGCGCGATGTTATGGCTAGTTTTGGAGGAGATTTATTTAGTGTGTAGAAGAATGGCAGACCTTCGTCGTCGTCACCCTAGTGGACCGCCCGCTGCGAGTGCAGTTTATCACCTGCGGACAGACTTTTCGCATTGCGAATAAACAATTGTACGGTGTGTGGATGTGAAACAGTTGCTCTAGCTGACTGGGTGACCTGGTGATTTGAATGAATGGGTTACAAGTATTGCCTCGGGGATGTCTTAGGTCTGAATAATGGGTTTGGAAAGAGTGCGGGTGGGCTTGGGAGTAGCAGGTGAGATGGAGTAGCAGTAGAAGGAGGGAGAAACTACAATACTTCCGGTCTGAGATGAAAGTGCCTAATTCAAACATCCTTCCAGAACTTCGTCAAAGCTTTATATTTTTGTGTTTTGTATTTGATTGCAACTTTTGTATTTTGCAGTCATTTATTTGTGATTCGACAGAATTTGTGCATTTTACACCTTTCTTATTGCTGCCTTTTTGGTCACTTTTTACCGCTAATTCTGGTATATTTCGGTGAATTTCCAAATTTTGCCTGACCTAAGTTTTTATGGGCGAATAGGCGCAGGTGCAAGTAGCACTAAGATAACATTCATAAGTCATCTCGACCAAATCCATTAAGCTTTATTTACACAGTCCACCTCGAGTAGTTTAGTGTACAGAAGTTTGAACATGACCACTTGGCTGTAAGTTTTGTAACCTGAGCCAGTTGCACATGCATCAGCATCTCATCCATCATCTTACGCGGCGGCGTATAGGCTTTTGTGTCCGATGTTTGCTGAGAAGTTTCCTGCCTGCTTGTTTAGTTACGATGCCCAAAGAGAGACAAACGCAACCAAGGCATCGGACCTAGGCTGTAAACATTCGTGGGTCATTGTAAGTTGGAAAGTCGGACACAGAGAGCGCGAATTCCATGTGCTCTTCCGGCTCGGAAAGAGTATGGGAATCGCGCAGTTGGTTTTGGTTGCCTCTATGCTCAAAAGTGGGGTAAAGACATCAATCAGTGCATAGTAGGGGATTTGCGCTGAGAGCAGCTGAATGCGTGAATCGTATTTGGTTTGTGTGAGGACCCCCGCCGTGTTGGACAGCTGTTAGATTCGCGCACACACGCTAGCACAATGCCTGAATATGAGTACATGGCAGATTTCGTGAGTTCATTGGCCTTATTGATCTTGATTTTATCTTGGTCTGGAACGATAGCGACCAAGCCATAATTTATGTATTTTCGAAGTGCAGAATCAGATTTAAGAGTTCGATCTGATACCGTAGTGCGCGAAACAGATCGCGTCTCGGTTTATCAGTCGCGTGCACTGAATTACCGTATCCGCGACGGATCTGATCCGCACATCGGAAGTGTCGTATATCTGACGGCGAGTCGTGTGCCCACACCGCCTCAGCAAGTATCGCGCTATAAATTACCCGTAGCCGAGCCGAATCTAGTCCGAAAGAGAGTTAGGACCTATCCATCCGAAATACACACCATCGGTCAGGTCCTTTCTACACAACTGACTCTCTTATTCGGATGTTTATCATCAGCCCGCATATGACACGTGTATGACTATTAAATCATAACGGGAAGCTGTTACCGCTGCCGTCTGTCGGCACGGATGCCTTGCAACGTTTGCCGACAAAACTCCGAAAAGGCCAATGGCCATTTGAAATGTGGCCCTAATGATGAGTCAACGCGAAAGAGTTCACGGTTTCCCATCGAGTGACGAGGTTCTTATGGAGACAGAAACACTTGTTTTATTGAAATTTGAACAGAGTTTCGATGAGGAAGTGATGACGGTGGCAGGCGTTCGCCATGGTACCGTCAATCACTGAGTGAGCTTGTTACGCTTGTCATTTCACTGCGAGGAACGGTTCTTAGTGAAGTGACAAGCGTTGGTCTTGTAAAACTGACGAAGCGGAGCATAAAGCTCTTTCCTTGAGTGTTTTATACAATATTTGAAAAAAGATTACTGTATTGAACAAGTTCTGATTGCAAACTTTACTCTTTTTGTTCTTTTGCAAAGGGAAAAATGAACGCGCAGTCGCTTCGTGGCCTCGCCATCGAAAGTGCGACCACGCTTCGCCTCAGGGGGTCCACGGCAGTTGCCTATGTCTCCCACTTCGTCATACTATTCACAAGAAATCCGCATTGCCATCTAGATTGCGTTCATACCGCACCGTCCAGGTACGGGTAATGATGCCTTTGTGCAGAAAACCATGGACCCAGTTGAGCAACTATCTTAGCCTACCCTATTAGGTTGTTTACTGGGCCTTACCCATTTTTGACGTCATCACCCATAGCACCCACACACACTTCAATGCATCAGGTCGCTCTGCACAGATTACGCAACCATGTGGTCAGTTGGCGCTCTGAGGTCACCCGTCCAACAAAGACTCGTGCTATCTGGTACGATAAGGATCACAGGTGGTGTATGGATTAGGTGCCAGGCGCAGTAGCGGCGGTACATTCTTGGAGAGAGAGCAGCGGTAACAGCAGCATAATTAGGGCTTACTAGGATGCGACGGAGATATTTCGTAATGATCGCTGAGACGTCAGCGAATTTGAAACGAACAGGACGGACATTCAAATTTCGATGATGCGCATGTCATTCATTATTGAAGGGATGGAGGTGGTCCCATTGTTGCGGACATTGCTTCACATTAAGCATGTGATGGGTTATTAATGAGGTAGAGATACCGTGGGTCAGGGAGGATTTGAATGACCCGGAACTGTTTTTGGTTCCCAAAAATATCAGAACCTTTTCACGAATGTTGTCTCAAATGCGTAAACTGGTCTTCGCGAATAGGTTACATGTTGCAATTCCGGACGAGATACGATCTGCTTTGACGCCGTAAGCTGCGTTAGCATTAGCACCCACAAAGCTGATTCATGAAGGGCTAGAAAAAATTGTGAAACCTTTCTATTTTTAGGTCACAAACTGGCTACGCTGTTCCCGTCAATCCAGTGCTGCTTAGCTTTGATGTTTGCTGCTGAAAGATATGCTGATGCAAGACTACGAGCTGATACGGAGAATATCATCGGAAGCACTTTCCATCTGCAAATGGTGAGGATTTTTTTCTGGTTTTTGATTTTTGGTTTTGTAGTATTTTTTAGGTTGTAAATTTCTTATGGGTGATTTTTTCAGGATCTTCTACGATCCTACATATCGATGATGGAGCGAGTTGTCAACGATCACGGAATGTGCTCTACTCATCAACATTCGTCTGCCCCAACAGAAGCGGAACTTCTGGCGCATTCGCCAGGAGGCCAGTGCGGGTCACCCTCACTGGGCACCCCACACAACGACTCCGGGTTTTGTTCTGGAGTAAGCTCACCAGAATCCTGTGGCAAGAAGGAACTCGAATGCTCTCCGCCAAAGATGGCCAGGATCGCCTGAAGTACCCTTCTTTGCCGGTAATTTCGAGAATATTCGAAGTTATTGATGACCTCGCTTGTCAAACCCTATACAGTTTTCTTTTCATCATGTATTCCTATTCATATCCTCTAGACTAATAACTTTGTTATTACCCCGAAACTTTTCACTACTGAAGTTTTTTTCAAACATTACGGACGAGTAATTGCCAACGTTCCTCCTTAGCAGTTTCTCTCTTTCGAATTCTTAACTTATCTGGGGGGCCTTTTTTAACTAAAGGCCTAACGCGGGTGTTTTTCATTTTCTTAGCATGTTTTCATGCAAAAAGTTCGCATTTCTCATTCATTTTAGCAATTACCGCAATTTCTGAGTAGCTTGCTGCTCTACTTTTGGCAGCCACTCCACACTTTTGAAGTAAATTGTCACATTTTTAACTAGGTACATGTTTCTGCTACTCGAAAATTACTCGAAAACTTCCACAAAAAAAGTTCACTGCCCGCAAATTCTCTTATGATTGTGGACCTGAAGTTTTGTTTGTATGTATCGAGAGGTGTTGTCTTCTTTCCCTCATTCCGGTGTGTTCCATCTATTCTACATTTTCTCATTCATTCATTTCTTGCTGTTTTCAACACCAAATAACGTAGAATATTGGTTTCTTACATTGATGTTCTTTCTTTTGAATGTTCAATCATTCAATTTTTCATTGCTTTGCCGCTGTGTCGTCGGTTGTGCATCGCTCGGATTTACACGGACGTGCGTTTATACTTCATTTGCTCATTGCCTACTTTTCTCTGCCGTCGACGTTGGAAATCATAGAGCGATGTCACGGCCATACGAGTAGCTTGTGATTAGTCAAAGATTTTTCTGTCTTGTGTTTGTGTGTTTTCTTATCCATTTCCTTGCATTTTGCGCATTTCGTTGTCTTGTCGCGTGCAGCGTGCGCGATACCGCTGGATATCGTGCAATCAATCCGCGTGTGACGAAATTCACTGTATATAACCCGTTTTATCGTCGCGTGTCGTTTTCTTCTAAAATTTTCTCCTGGCTGCCAACAACTATAGCGGATTTTCCCAGTACTGACAACTTGGTATGTGTAATTTTGTGTGTGTTAATGCGTGTGTGTGTTTACATCCTGGAGGCGCTGGTAGTCAATTGCCTTTCTCGTCATTTTCGTATTCCACTGTTCCATTACAACTCACTTGTTTTATTTTACTAATTAATGACTGGAATAAACGTGTACTAATTTTATTTTGTTTTCTGAACATCGAACATTACAAAGATTACCTCGTTCAAAACTTCTCGATTTCGCTTTCAATGATTGATATTTAAGAAGCAGATTGCGAATTATAGGCTGAAGGAAGTCACCTCTGAAAAAAAAATTGGAAATAGGTAGAAATTATGAGTGTGAGTTTGAAAAAAACAAAAACAATATTGACATGTCTCCGAAAAATAGTCTGCTGAAGTTACAAACATCTTGCTCATCAGAATTCACGAACATCGTATAATTCATTGACTACTCGTCCAGATACAGCGTAAATACTTCTCACAAGCATTCATTTCAGTGGTCAAATGTCATCGCTTATGGAAAGAAATATGTCATGGCAACTTGAACTCGAAGAAAGTTGATCTTCTAGCAACAATTTCTAAAAAAAATTATAGATAAAGGATTGTTATCGTGCTTGAAAATTCGGCTATTATATGACAAATGCGCAGAATTTGATGTTGTCATGGTTCCAGTGCGTCAAGCATCGTTTCCATGAAACTGGTATGAAATATAGTGAAAAATAAAAATGCAATTTTGCGCTCCTCGATTGAATGGGTCATGATGACGATGACTGGCTCAGATGTGATGCTTTTGTTACGATATCCTTTTTATAGATTTGATTAATCACTGCTAGGCAATTATATTTGGAGAAAATGTACATGCCAAGCTGTGTTTATTCAAATTATGATTAAGCTGTTTTTTAAAGAAAGCAATCTGATACCAAGCTTATACCTGATCTCAAATTTTTGCATGAATTAACATAAAAAATACTTGCGTAGTTAGTCATTTATCGAATAATTCAAAGGAATGACCATCTAAACTCTACTCTACAGATTTGAGATAGCATGATTATAGCATCTTTGGCTATCTCAACAATGTTTAGCGATAAATTAGGTCTCAAAAAGGAAATAAAAAATGAAATTTTAACTTGAGAATTTCGTTTCGTAATGTGCTGTGATTTATGGTGGTGCTAGCCTGTGGCTACTACGATTCCTATCACTTCAAAGCCGCAGAAAATTAGTTTGGTTAACAGGTCAATTCTGATAAGGAAGCGGTGATTTAGATTGTCTCTGCGGTGTTTTTGAAGTGATAACGAACCTACGAGCCCAATTTGTTTTAAGCTGGTTTCGTGGTGGCTTGGAAAGGGGAGTTGAATGAACTATTTCCAGTTTTTATTTTTTTCGCCTACGACAAATTGCGAATTTAGCGGTCGTTTATTTGGCAAATGCATACCGAAGTCAAAATTTGGGGAAGTGTTTGAGATTGACAAAATGTTGGTTTGGAAAAAAGCAACCTTGCTTTCAACACATGGGAACTACGACGGGGTTATGTCATCCAACATATTAGGTTGGCCCGAAAGTTCTTTCACACCAAATTCAAAAATTCATAACTTCTGATCTTTCCAATCGATTGGACAGCTTTTATTTTTGTGTTAAAGAGTAAGTCATGCTCTTTATAACGACACCTTAGATGCTTGCTATTGACCATCTGGTGCATAGAAGGAGCGATAGAAGAAAATTGGTAAAAATTCGAATTTTTCGTGTAGGGTCATAAAAAGTCGGAAACCTGCAACAAAAATCGGAGCAGTCAGTATTGTAGGCTCTTTCACAAGCTCTTTCTAACAGTGCAAAGTCTGCGCCGATTGAGCGTCTCTATGAAAAGTTACGATTTCCCTGAAAAATGCCAAAATAAATCAAATTCGCCCTTTTGTATTTCTTGCTCGAAAACTACAACTTGTTATGGAGACTCTCAATCAGAACAAACTTTGCACTGTTAGAAAGAGCTGGTGAAAGAACCTACAATACCGACTGCTCCGATTTTTGTTGCAAGTTTCCGATTTTTTATGACCTTACAAGAAAAATTCGAATTTTGACCAATTTTCTTCTATCGCTCCCATCTATGCAACAGATGATCATTAGTAAGCAGTTAAGATGTCTTTATGAAGAGCATGACCTACACTTTCATACAAAAATAAAAGCGGTCAAATCGGTTGGAAAAATTGGACGTTATGAATTTTTGAATTTGGTGCGAAAGAACTTTCGGGCCAACCTAATAATTCGTATAATTTCGAAATTTCACTAATTTTTACTATTATACATTCACTTTCACCATCCTTCCCTTGGATTTCTCAAGGCGCTGCTCCCTGTTGAGTGCCAATTGAGCCTTCAGGAGCTGAAAATGAAATAAAAAACACCATCAGTTCTGCAGATTGAATATCTTCTAGTTGGTAAAAGTGTATGTTTCGCAGTACAAACCATGTTGCTGACAGTTGGAAGTAGTGGGACACTACGTATAATTGCAGCTTTCTAAAGGAAGAAAATTCACTGGACGCCAAAATTTTTAAGATGTGCGATCAGATAATACTCGTTAAAGTGGAGCCTATCTCACAACTGCTAAAACTCGAAGTTAACGCATGTTGAGCAGTTACGAATCTTAAACAGTATCATCGCAAAAGCGTGAGTTACCCAAAGTATCAAAATTACACTTGGGCAGGGGACTGTCTCCAAACCCGCCACAGCTTTTTACCGTGAGGCATAGTCATGAGCAATTCCGAGGGGAATACGGTAGGGTTACTAGAGGCTACTAGGGGTATTTAATAGGTTAGGCTAAGTTACAGAGTTTACTTAATTATTTGCACATGAACTCAATGTTCTCGGTCCGTATAGAACAGCTAGTTCTTTCCACTCATGTGCAATTTACCTCGTTTCTTCTATTTATGGAAATGGAAGAACAAAATACGATTTTTTTTGTTGCTGGAAAGATCACAAGTGAATCTGGGTTTCGAATCAAGCGAAACAACATCGGCAACGCCAGAGAATCACTGGAGAAATTTTCATAAATGGGTTTCTTCTATTTATTATCATGTTTGAAAACGTTAAAAAACACCACTTTAGTGACTGTGGCAGTATGAAACATACTTGTAGTTTTTCCTACATGCATATGCCATTGCACAGGTATTAGTTGAAAGTGACAAAATTTCTCGTCCATTTCTCCTTTTTCACTCTATCTTCCACCGAGAGTTGCATTTTCGCCCAACTTGTTCTAGAAGAAAAAGTGTGGAAAAGCTCAAGGCCAACGAAATGGAGATTGATGAAAGTTTGCGATTTCGTTATTTAAAGTACACGCAGACATTTTTTCTACTATCGAAACCAGTTTTTTGTCGCTCTCAATCTCCTAATTATCTAAAGTGTCCTTAACTGATAAGTCAAAAAACTCCCAAGCATTAAAAGGGTAAATCCTGGAACTTGCAACGTGTCCATTTTTTCGATCTTTGCATCAATTGCCTCAAAGTCTTTGCAAGCCTGTGAAAAATTCAACCAATGAAAATGGCGCGATTTTTCGACCATTTCCACATGACATTGATCATCAGTGACGTCTACGGGGTCATCGAAAAATTTGTCAAGCGCTGCGTAGGGTTCATAAAAACTAGAAATCTTGAGATAACACAAAACCTGCTTCGAGGTGTTAAAAAGTGAAAACGTTGGCGAAAGATCGCTGACCGCTGATAATTTTGCAAAGAAAATTGTCTGCAAATCATGGTAAAAATTCCAGGATACAAATTGGATTGCTAATTGATGTATAGTGTAAAGAGCCTAAACCGATTCGTAAAATTTGCAAACCTGCACTAATACCGTACAACTACGGTAATTCTATACCATTGATTACTACACAGTTTCTACATAATCAATACCTCTAATAACGGCCTTAGGTGAAGATTCATATGAACAACTCCGGAATCTAGGAAGGAATTTCACGAGCACGGTAACATGGGTCGCACGGACAACGGAAGGCTCTCTTGTTTAAAAAGAAAAAGAAAACGAACGCTTTTTTTTTGTAATAAACAAGTTGCACTCATTGAGCTTACTGCATATATCCTCTTTGTGAACAGGCCCAGTAATTTGGTCATTCTAGGGTTATGGTTTATACAGTTGAAGGGAAATCATTCTGTCTTATATGATACTAGCTGGCTTACCCGGCTCCGCCGTATCCGGATCAAACTTGGCACACATACACTTCGGGCCCCGGCGGGTGTCACAGTCCACTTTTCGTTATCGATCGATGTCGATTTTACCGATTTTTATCGATTTTTCTGCAGAGTTCACCTACAGGGCTAGGAGTTGGCACAGGGGGGAAGTGAGCATGGGGATTCCGAATACAATATTAGTTTTCAGAATTACTTTTATTGATTTTATCGATTTTTTGTAAATTTTGACATGCGAGGCTGGGATTTTGCACAGGGGGGTAATCGAGCATGCTGATTACGAACACAATATTAGTTTTCAGGATCGTCCATTACTTTTATCGATTTTATCGATTTTTTTGTAAAGTTTGACCTGCGGGGCTGGGAGTTTGCACAGGGGGGTAATCGAGCATGCAGATTACGAATACAATATTAGTTTTCAAGATCGTCCATTACTTTTATCGATTTTATCGATTTTTTGCAAAATTTGAGCTACGGGGCTGGAATTTGGCACAGGGGTGTAATCGAGCATGCTGATCATTCCCCTTGGGGATGATCAGCATGCTCGATTACCCCCCCCCCCCTGTGCCGACTCCCAGCCTCCTAGCTCAAACTTTGCAAAAAAATCGATAAAATCGATAAAAGTAATCGATAATCCCGAAAACCAATATTGTATTCGGAATCCTCATGCTCGATTACCCCCCTGTGCCAACTCCCAGCCCCGTAGGTGAACTCAGCAAAAAAATCGATAAAAATCGATAAAATCGATATCGATCGATGACGAAAAGTAGCCTATGACACCCGCCGGGGCCCGTAGTGTATGTTTGCCAAGTTTGGTCCGGATCGGTTCAGAAATGGAATTTTCTATTCGGAACATACGTACAGACAGACAGACATACATACAGACAGACATACATACAAACAGACATTCAGCTTTATATATAAGATATTACTTTATGATATAAGCTATCAATACAGCCATTTTTGCCGGTCGCCATCACATGTAAGGGTTATAGTATACGGCATTAGAGGGGAATTTTTAGATTGCTTCAGATTGTGCGAAACTTGGTCGAGGGAGTTGTTCGACACGCTAATTACGAAATTGATACACCTCACATGGAAGGGCTTCTTTCATAAGGTGAATATGATATTTCATCTAACGAGAGAAGGATCCCAAGTCGCCGTGGCGATTTGGAACTAACACATATCATTGGTCTTGTTGAGCTGATTCTTGAATCTTCACATCTATCGCGCGTTATGAAAGAAATTATGAGCGAATAGAAGTCAAATTAGTAGGGCCTAAGCATGACTTGCTTTGAAAACCAGCTTGAGAGTGCATCATTAGCATGGAGTTCAGTGTATCGACTGAAAGGAATGCACAAATACACCGGCAGCATAGATAAGGGTGATAACTGTTAGGTTGTAAAGAAAGTTCTGCCAATAGAGGTTGAGCTAAATTGTTTTATTTCTATCTTCATCATGAGTGGCTGTCAATCAACGATATTTTGGGCACGTGCACTGATAACCTTGAACTACCGATTATGTAGGTAATAGATACTCTTTTGCAAAAAGAGTGCCCGCTGCATCTAGGAACAGGTGGGAGCTCGCTTTTTTTAACCCTGAAATCGATGAGCCATTTCTTGCTTGGGAAAAGGCGCAGATACCGGAGCAAGTTATAGTCGAAGTCGGCTTCATCTAACCAATAGAAAGGCTATAAAGCAAATTTTCAAATCGAGCTTCTGCCCTCTGCGCGTCTATCTGGAAATTGTGCCTTTACGCACAGCTGAGGGCGGGGGATTTCTCTCCTTTTTTGGGCATTTCTTCTTGGTTTATCATTTTTTTCATGCTGAATAGCGTATTTGGCAGCTGAGGCCAACGCACACTAAGAACACATCCCAAACCAGCCCCTTGCATCAGCATTTAATTCTGGTAATTATGATATTAATTGGCAGAACTTTCTTTACGACCTTATACTTTTTGAAGCTGCGGCGCTGAATGTTTGCCGATTTCGAATCTTCTCATGCTCATAGCTTCTTTCAGAGAGCTGCACAGCAGATGCAGAAGTTAGATTTGAAATCGGCTCAGTAAGACGCGCCCAACGATATGCATTCTGTTCAAAATGGCCATGGCGATCTGGGATTCCCTAATCAGCTCCATGTTTAGCATGTTGAATTAGCCCACTGTGCGAAGTTTTGGCAGTCTGCGCTTTCGCAGCTTAGTAATTGGCGGATGCCCCTCCATATTTAACGCTTCAACACTTGTTCAACCTCTTGGGAGTGCCACATCTTCTCTCTTTTCTTTACTGCGTTAGCAAAATTCGAAGGTTTGCGCATTTTTGTACCTACATCATAGTCCATACAGTGCCAAATGAGAGCGCTGCATGCGAAAGAAAAGTAACGGGGGAAGGTACAAAGGGAGAAGTTTCAAAACTTAGGTCAAGCCTAATTAGGCCATTGGACTAAACAGATTCCCTCACTATGAGAGTGGCTCCATGTTACGCTGGCCGACACTTTTGCAGCCGAAAGTCGCTTTTACACCGCTTGTCCCTTTTGCAACCTAGGCGAAGTGAGTCAGGTTGTCCAAGGAGCGCATGTGCTGCTAAAGTTTATTCATCTACTTATGTTTTCGTTCGATAATTCGCTTGACTTTTTCTAGGTTCCCCTGTTTTGACCCGCTTCATGAGGTGGAAGTGTTTGAAGATGATTGTCGCCAAACCTACAACGCCATTTATGGGCACACGCGCTGTTCAAGGAGTTCAGTTTGGTATGCTCAAACCTTTCACAAGCCATTTTCATACTGGTATCATATTTCACGCTACTTTCTCGAAGCACAGGAGAGCTTCCTATCTGACTCCTCATGTAATTGGCGTTATTCCTGCGGTTAAGGTCGAAGCGATAACGTCTTGCAGGGCAGCTTTTATGGTATTAGGAAGCTATACGGGTGGAGGACATTAGCTCGCCGAATTTGGAGGAGTCCTGCGCGGATTCCCTGCAGGAACGCATGTCCGCGCATGTACAAGGGTGCGTATTTGTCGCAAATGACCGCGGGGACCGCCCTTTTTCGGCGACCTAATGTCCCCCACCCAAGCTATACCTATACTAAATACAAAAGAAGAGTGGAGAAAACGTGCTTACTTGTGATAAACCGGAGGGACAAGGCGCTTCAACGAAACTCTGTTTTCGATATATAGCTAAGAAATCTCGTCAAAAAAAACTAACACTAGGGGGTTGGCTAATATAAGAGTCTTCGCTGAGACCTATGCGTTGGTTCCAAATAAATCAAAACTGACCAAAAGAGTCGTATGTTCTATTAAAATCAAAGTACAGGGCTTATCAAAGGCAGTGGCGCTTGCATCAGCATCTGCACTCTCGCGGTGGACTCTGCGTCTCTTCTGCGAACATGCTCTCTGATCACTTTCCCAGGGAAAGCATGGGAAAGGCGGAGCCTCAATCAAATGGAATCGATCGGAGAGCATGTTCGCGGAAGAGGCGCAGAAGCGCGGGAGTGGAGGTGCTGATGCAAGCGTACTGCGTTTGATAAGCTCTGTAAATGACTTTCACGATTCACTACTATCAAGAGCATTAATCCAAGTAGTGTTAGTGTTCGGGTGTTTTATTTATTCTGAAACCTCAATTGCATGCCTTACGTCTTGGAGCAACCACTAGATTCTTGATAGTTCTTTATATAAACATAAATGCCTCAAGATCCAACAAGGAAAGCGTCTCAAACAACAACAACAAAATACGACTATGAAAATGACGCAAACATACGAATACAAAATGAGCAAACATGAATTTGAAATAAAATACAATTATAAAAAGGAAACGCATACAAAAAAGAAGTCAACAAACTATTGCACAAGCTGTTCAGCATTCCCCGTAAAAATGTTGATCAGCTTGTCCCTTGATTTTAAACAACCAGATTAAACTCAAAGCACTTATCAGATGGAGTTTAACAATCATCGAACAGAAGCTTGAAATTCATGCTTTCAACAAGTGCTGCAAACATCTTCAAAGTTGTCTCTATTGTACTGAAATATTCCAACATAAAAAAAAGAACAGAGATGTGGTAAACCAACCGTTTTCTTCGTTCCTTTGAGGGTAACCTGAATTCACCATGCCCAGAACTTACATCTCAGCAAAAGTAACTTACCCAGTAATCCACATCCTGCTCACCACTCTTCACTAGTTTCTTCACCTTTGGGCACCAAACATCACAGACGTATTTCATGCCTCTGGTTCCACCGACTATGTTTATCCTGTCGATAGCAGAACCTTCTTTTGCCTCGCCAGCACCGCCTGACGGTGAGTTGATCTGCTTCAAGATTTGTGGTAAGTCGAGCTCATTTAAGTCGACTTCTCCTAAGTCGTGCTCTTGTAGTATTTGTGTTAAGTTGAGCTGGTTTAAGTTGATTACAGCAGCTCTGATAATGGGACACAAGAGCAGAAAGACAATAAGGTGCCTCATAATGCATCTCTTCCATTTTCGCAGCCCTTTTATAAGTTGTTATAGAATCACATCAATATGATATAGTGACAAATGCATTTGATATTATAAGCTCGATGTGAGCAAAATAGATGCTAATAATGACGATGGATGACAAATTTCTAATGCCTATCTGCAATTTCCTATCGATTTAGCAATCTGTAGAAATTCTGCCACATAGGTATGCAAACGGCTAGCGAATCAGATGGAACGCCCAAAAGGGACAGTAACAGATGACAATCGAACATGATTCGGGTATGAAATGATCGATTACGTAGCTCCAAATATTGTTAAGGAAGTGCGAAAAACTGTAACTTCTCTTCTCAGCTTTTTTAGTCAGGCGGAACCTATATAAACTTTTATTTTTCGTAGTTGAAGGCATAAAACGTTTTGTGCTATTTGAGCTAATTTTTCCAACAACGGTGATGGCCTTATTCAAATTATACAAGTGTCTGACTTGATATCTAATTGACTTCCCAATCTAATTGAGTTCAGCTATGCAATGTTGGAAATTTCAGTAATTTCTTTGTGCAGATCCTTCCACTGCGCAGAATGCTGCGGCGAGCATTCATGTCAACGTATGAGAAGTCTCAGCTCAAAACTTCTCGTTTTTCTTTTCTAAGGCATTGTGTGACTTTTTCTTCCAAACACCTCTGAAGACTTTTGATTTTGTGGTTTTGGCACCTGTGGCTAGGCGAAGATGAGAGAAGTTCCGTTATCTATCTAACAAGGGAAGTTCACTTATTCGAAGTGGCGATTCGGAAGGAGATCTATACCAGTGGATAGAGCTCAAAAAGCTGATCTCAGATATACCTTGGATATCTGCGATGCATCGTTCTGAAAAAAGTTATGACCTTTTCTAAAGTCAAATTTTCGTGCATTTTGAGTTGCAAAATCATGATAATCGCTACACAAAAGTGTGTAAGCTTAAAGGCAGTGTCCGGGCAGAAACTCAACTTCTAAAAAATCAACTTATCTGGGGTTATCCGCAACGCTGAATCCGAAAATCCACATCAAAAGGCGCGAAAACGGCGAGAACATGCATTTTCCAAGTCCTCACATTTCGAAATTTGGGGATCCCCGCCAGGCTAAGACGCAGAGGTTGCAAAGAGCGCACGGTTTTTAACTGTGGCGGCATACGTACTCTGCCGTCTGGCAGGAATTCAAACAACTCGGAGGACCCCGCCCCAAGGCGTAAGTTTCCCCAATTTGCAATCGTTTTTCTTGCTTTAGGTCGAACGTTTTATGCTCGCAGTTGCGCGATGTTGTGTCTCAGGGGGGCTACTTTCACATGGCAGAGAAATCTCAGAACCCCCATTTTGCCCGGACACTGCCTTTAAGCAAACCACCTAGTAAACATTGTAGGTCTAACTCGAGTTTATCCGAACGCTTTCGAGTGTTTTTCGGCCATGTTGTTCATCCACAGGTCTTCATTTCGTTCCTAGATCACACTTCCATTATGTGTACAAAAAAGCCCCATAACCTCTATCTAGAAAAACGCGTCACGTCGGAAACTTTTTGGAAACTACCAGTGGATAGAACGTAAAACGATCTTCTCAAATATATCTTCAATATCTGCGACGCGTTTTTCTAGGCGGAGGTTATGGGCTTTTTTGTATACATAATGGAAGTGTGATCTAGGAATGGAATGAAAACCTGTGGATGAACAACCTGGTCGAAAAACACTCGAAAGCGTTCGGATGAACTCGAATTAGACCTATAATGCTTACTAGGTGGTTTGCTTCAGCTTGCAAACTTTTGTGTAGCGATTATCATGATTTTGCGACTCAAAATGCACTAAAATTTGGCTTTAGAAAAGGTCATAACTTTTTTCAGAACGACGCATCGCAGATACCGAAGGTATATCTAAGATCAGCTTTATGAGCTCTATCCACTCGTATAGATCTCCTTCGGAATCGCCACTTCGAATAAGTGAACTTCCCTTGTAAGTACTGAAGCTAACATTACGTGTAAAGGACTTAAAAAACGATTCGCAAGAAAGTTATTAGTCTGATCTCCTGCCATATATTAGGTTGTCTTATAATTAATCCACGTTCTGAATTTCAGCTTCAAATCAAGGTAGCGTGATTCCAGTGGCGTAGTGGTATGAGGCGCCGCTATGACCAGATGGCGTAGTGGTATGAGGCGCCGCTATGACCAGATCGAACACATGTTCGATCCCCGCCCCTGGGCCAACCAAGCTCTCTGCTCTCCAGAGACGGTAAATTGGTATCAGAGTAATCTGGGAAAATAAAAGCACTGACTTGGTAACTGGCTCCCCGCCCCCTACCCCCCCCCAGTCACGATAATAGGCTTGCACGCATACAACTGCCTCTTCGACTATGAAGTAGTGGGCGTTTGAAAACACCGAATGCTTCATCTTTTATTTGAGGCAATTCTTTTCCAAAACCATCTTTCAGAGTGCAATAAAAAGCTATTGCAAACTGTAAGCCTTCAGCTATACAATGCATACTTTTGTTGGATCGTAGCACTTCGAAAGAGATTTTCTAGAACGAATATTTTCAGAACAATTTGCTCAAAAGCTATAGCCCTTACTTGCCTCCAGATTCTTAGGATGACGCGAGTTTTCCTCATTACATAGCCGACAGTCGGTTGAGCAAAGTAATGAACTTTGGATTTGATGTTCTGATATTTCTTATGCCACACAGGTTGGTATGGTGGAACTTTATTGACCTAACGTTTCGAACAACTCGTCTTCGTCGGAGGTCTGAAAAGGATTGTAGTTCACGTATCCGCTGTACTGTGCCGCCAAACATCTCGTCTGAGTCCGCTTCGCTTGACGTTTTCTCAAACGCAACGTACTGGGCACATCGAACGAGGGCAAACAAACCTTCGGTCCACCAAGGAGTTAGTAGTCCGCACTAGATCAGTGTGACGGACATCACTGAGTTCTGCCCAGTGAGTCGTGCTACTTATAGTGTGCGGTATCGAGCTCACACAATGATATCAATGGCAGTAGATCACTCGTTATCGTCAGACATTCATTTCTATTGTTCATACTTGGATTACGAGAGTATATCCACGCCGCTTCAAGGGTCTTTCGTGCTAGAATATCAGTCTCAAACGCTAGGATGACACATTTGACGTTAAAATCATTGCCGCCGTGCTCTTCAACCTTATGCTTACCTAACGGAGACAATAGGTTTCCTCGCCTCATGCTCGCCAAGTGCTCGCTTACTCTAGTACTCAAGGGTCTACCCGTTTCTCCAATGTACACTGTTCTGCAACTCAAGCATTCCAATTGGTAGACAGTTCCCGATTTAGCGCAGTCCCCTATTTTCCCATAAGGACAGATTATGCAATCCTTTGATACACATTCAACATCGTAAGCTCTGTTTCTGACTAACCGCCTTTTGATATTATCGCTAGGAATGTCAATCAGCATGACTTCATTTTGCAGTTGTGCTCGCAAGATGCACTGTCTTATGGCTTCGCTGATTCTATCGGAAACAAAGGGTACGCACAAAGGAATTTTGTTGTTCTTGTTGCGCTCAGTAAGGCTATCACAGTTATGACAAGTAGACTGTTTTTTACGTGAACCTCCTGTTTCAAGCATATAGCCGTTACTGAGTGCAATGTCAGCTGCCAATTGTCGTGACTCGCGTCGCTCGTCATCGCCTGTGCACATTTCGGTAGCAGTTTTGAACATGTTACGTATGATAGCATGTTTGACTAAACGTTGACTGTTGTTTAACTGTTTGACTACGTATGACTGACTGTTTGACTGTAACATATTCAAATGGTCTGGAACTTACTATTCACAAGTCAGAGGACTCGCGATGGGCCAAAGACTTGCTCCAGTCATCGCAATATGTTACATGAGCAAGATCGAAGAACCAGTACTTGCACGCTTACCGATGATGTACTGCAGATACATTGATGATTGCTGTATCGTAACTTCAACACAATCCGAAATGGATGAGTGTTTTCGAATTCTAAACCAGCAATCACAGTACATCCGGCTTACACGTGAAACACCTCGCGATGGATGGCTTTCCTTTCTGAATACACAGGTGGACTTGTTTGACAATACCGTCCGCATAAAGTGGTACAGAAAGGAAAGCTCGAGAAACATCATCTTACACGCTACGTCAGCCCACCCCTCAGCAGTCAAATATGCTATCATACGTAACATGTTCGAAACTGCTACCGAAATGTGCACAGGCGATGACGAGCGACGCGAGTCACGACAATTGGCAGCTGACATTGCACTCAGTAACGGCTATATGCTTGAAACAGGAGGTTCACGTAAAAAACAGTCTACTTGTCATAACTGTGATAGCCTTACTGAGCGCAACAAGAACAACAAAATTCCTTTGTGCGTACCCTTTGTTTCCAGTACTCTGCGTTGATACCACTGCTTGTGCATCTTGCGAGCACAACTGCAAAATGAAGTCATGCTGATTGACATTCCTAGCGATAATATCAAAAGGCGGTTAGTCAGAAACAGAGCTTACGATGTTGAATGTGTATCAAAGGATTGCATAATCTGTCCTTATGGGAAAATAGGGGACTGCGCTAAATCGGGAACTGTCTACCAATTGGAATGCTTGAGTTGCAGAACAGTGTACATTGGAGAAACGGGTAGACCCTTGAGTACTAGAGTAAGCGAGCACTTGGCGAGCATGAGGCGAGGAAACCTATTGTCTCCGTTAGGTAAGCATAAGGTTGAAGAGCACGGCGGCAATGATTTTAACGTCAAATGTGTCATCCTAGCGTTTGAGACTGATATTCTAGCACGAAAGACCCTTGAAGCGGCGTGGATATACTCTCGTAATCCAAGTATGAACAATAGAAATGAATGTCTGACGATAACGAGTGATCTACTGCCATTGATATCATTGTGTGAGCTCGATACCGCACACTATAAGTAGCACGACTCACTGGGCAGAACTCAGTGATGTCCGTCACACTGATCTAGTGCGGACTACTAACTCCTTGGTGGACCGAAGGTTTGTTTGTCCTCGTTCGATGTGCCCAGTACGTTGCGTTTGAGAAAACGTCAAGCGAAGCGGACTCAGACGAGATGTTTGGCGGCACAGTACAGCGGATACGTGAACTACAATCCTTTTCAGACCTCCGACGAAGACGAGTTGTTCGAAACGTTAGGTCAATAAAGTTCCACCATACCAACCTGTGCGGCATAAGAAATATCAGAACATCAACTTACAGTCGAAGATGCCCAGGTTTCAAGACGAGAATACATGGGAACTTTGGATTTTACGGGATTGTTTGCGAGAAAATATTACAAAAAGAATTTGGTGGTAGTCAATCCGTTCAGCGTAAAGAAAGCATCAGCTCATCCGTATTTCATGAATATCGTCTTTGCCAGATTTAGCCTTAGACCAATGTTCTCACACACATCATCAAACTGAGCCATCCGTTCCGCTTGCGTGATGTTCGGTGCAATCAGGACTACAGGGTGTCCCAAAAGCACGTACACACTTTTCAATCGTCAATATCTCTTTTCCCAATGGGTCTTTTTTGCCAGTCATGTACCATTCTGTAGAGGAGGGTTCAACTTAGATTTACAGTATTGTTGGAGTTACCGATCGTTCTTAGTTACTGTAAGGTTGCGATATGACCTTCCAGTATGTGGGACCATTGTGAAATATGCGATCTGGCAAATTTTTTTTTCAAAAAATCTGAAAAATTGTGTAATAGGGTTTTCACGCACGCTAATCCTACTACGCACTCTTACGAGTGTTTTCAGCTTTTTGACGGTGTAGTTACATTTCTGACAATACTATGTTATTTCGGGTTACCTTGGATAATTTTGGAAAGAAGCATCACAGTAATGTAGAAATTTCATATTCGAAATCAGCGGCTTCCATTACCATAGTATAAGAGTTTTTGGCTTGTTCGGTTTTGTTTCGAGGCAGAATATGGCTTGCAATAGCCTAAAATCCTTGTCGAAGTTCCTACAGTAACCTACTATAATGAAAGGCAATCGTTAATTCGCTCGATAATGTAAATCTAAGTTGAAGTCTTCTCTACATAATGGTATTTGAATGGTGGAGAAAGACACAATAGGAAGAGAGATATCAACGACTGAAAAGTGTGTACTTTACTTAATTTTGGGATACCCTGTATATATAACCAGTGCGTCATTTCTGCTTCGCAGAGGCTCGCACTGGTCCTACTTCATATGCCTTACTCATTCTTGACTAATGCTGGCAATGATACTCACCGCGCAGCGCCGATTATCGCGGGTAAAATGTAAACAACTACCCATTCCAAATGCTTTTTCATATGAGGTCGGTGATTTCGCGTGGATGAAACTTTTCGCAGAAGAACAAATGCAAATTTGAATAGGTTTTTGAACTCTTTCTGGCTTGGTAGCTGCCATAAGGACAGTAGGCAACGTGATCTACATCTCTGTGCAAAATTTTTCTCAAATGCTTAGGTAAAACCATGGCAAATTAACCATTTACCCAATCATTTCTTTTTGGCCTCGTTCTCGTAAAGTAGTGAACTTCTGTCCACTTTTTTGGACTAAAATCCATGGCTTGCACATCAGCATGCCAAACACATCCCCGACTTTGCAAAAAGTGGTGATACGGAACCAATTTTGCTGGCCAGAACCCGAGTGGTTCCGTTTGACGCGCAGTTTCTGAGGAATCCACCCAACAAAACCATTCGTGCTTTTGCATGGTATGCTCTTATGTTGGTCGCATGCAATGTGCAAAATTTGGGCTCGGCTGGAATGTTGGCTGGAGCTCGCTCTACGAATTTCGTTACAGACAGACACACAGACATACATACACACACACACACACACACACACACACACACACACACACACACACACACACACACACACACACACACACACACACACACACACACACACACACACACACACACACACACACACACACACACACACACACACACAAAAACACGTAAACAACCTTAGCCCGTTATTATAAGTTATGATCAGCGAAGTGAAGCTGGTGTAGTTATCGTCCTCGATTTTCACTCCCAAATCGTCCCACTCTAGCGTACGCAGACATTTTGGAGAGATTTTCGCACTGAAGCACGTAGTACAGGAGTACGACAAGGCGATATGGTATTGCCTTGTCGTACTCCTCTTTTCACGTCGATGGTGATCTCCTTGTAATGGCGTGATTTTGGTTGTGAAGTCGTTGTACAGCTTACGTACGATCTTGATGTACCGAGTTGTTCAAGGCATCGATGACAGCCTCAGTCTCAGCCGAATCAAATGCCTTCTCCAAGATGAAGGTGAGACAGAGCGGCATCTGAATCTGGAGATACTTCGAGAGTCTTGATACTGTGTGTATGGGTCCATAGTGCTTTTGGCAGTCAGTCATTAGCATAGGTCTTGAAATTATCAGATTGAGCAGCTACATTGGTTTGAAAGCATGTTTTCATGATTCCAGGAAACTGCACTGTATATGAAAAAAATAATCGTGAAGACTATGTGTTTACTTGTAGCACAATCTCCCCGAAAAAGTAGGATCTGAGAGTCAGGCCGTCAAGGAGGTTTCCTCATATCCGTTGATCTTTATAGGAAGTCCATTCTGATTGACAGAGCGAAAGTAGTGCTAACATAAGATCAGAGTTGACTTTGACGGTTTCCCACTTAGGCCCCGGACAGACTTCACGCGACTTAATCGTCGCGATCTAATCGCCAAGATTTCGATTCATTTTCATTTCACATTCAAAAATTTCGGGCTGGAAAAGTATCACAACCGAATGCAAGTTGATCGGGATGGAATGATGTTGTAACAGTTGTCTCGTCGCGACTCAGTCGCGACGATCAAATCGCGTGAAGTCTGCCCGGGGCCTTAGGCATCAATCCTCATCGCAGCATCTCAGCAATTGAGTGCAGGCATTAAGTGGAGGGTCTACCAGTTTTTTCATATTCATCTGATGTACGGAGGATAATGTTTGAATTTATTCAGAAAATTCATGCATGGCTTAGGTCTTGGACGACTGCAATTACATACGAATTTGGAACAAAATACGAAATTAGGAGATGCACATAATAAAGAAATCAAGATATCATTACGACAAGCTAACATTCTTCGTAAAATGTGCGGAAGTTCGTAGCTTGTCGATTGAATTTCAAGGAACCAGATTGTCAAAATGCTTATCACGCGGACTTTTTATTGGGCTGAAATTTGATTTTTATGCTTTTGACAAATGCTGCAAACTTCTTCGAGGTCGTCTCTGTTGAACTGCAAAATTGCAAGGTAAAAAATGGAACAAAACTGGGTAAACTGACCGTTTTCTTCGTCCCTTTGAGAGTAACCTGAAATTTACCTTACTCTAAACTTATTAATCAGCAAAATTAACTTACCCAATAATTCACATTCTGATCGCTTCTCGTCAGTAGTTTCTTTACTTTAGGACACCATACATCACAGACGTAGTTCATGTCTCTGGTTCCACCGACTATGTTTATCTTGTAAATATCATGACCTTCTTTGCCAGCACTGCCTGACTGTGAGTTGAGCAGCTTCAAGAACTGTGGTAAGTCAAGTTGATTCAAATCGACTTCTCCTAAGTCGTGCTCGTGTAGTATTTGTGGTAATTTGAGCTGGTTTAAGTTGATTACAGCAGGTCTAATGATGGGACACAAGAGCAGGAAGACGGCAAGGCACCTCATAATGCATCTCTCTTATTTTAGCAGACCTTTTATAGCGTTGTTATAAGATTATATCAATATGATATGGTGACGGCTGCATATAATATTATAAGCTCAATGTGAGCAAAATAGATGCTGATAATGATGGTGATTTCGAATTTCTAATTCCTATCTGCCATTTTCCATCGATTTAGCAACCAGTAAAGATGCTGCAACACATGTATGCAAACGGCTAGCGAATCGAATAAGACCCCTGATACGGACAGTAAATCAAATCGCACGTATTTAGGCTATGAAATGAATAGTCATGTAGCTCCAAATTTTGTCAAAGAATTGCAATAAACTAAATCGTACTCTACTCAGTTCTTTTAGTCATTCAAAATCTATTGAAATTTATTTTCGCCATTGGGCACAAAACCTTTTCCGCTAACAAGGGAACGATACTTGGTGTCCGTAGCTTTTTGAGATGAAACGTATACCATCACATTCGTCTTGAAACGCTGATTCCGAATCTGACCTCCGTTTCTGCTAATCGTTTCTCTAAAAGAAGTTATGGAGGATTTTCGCGTCAATGGTCGCCTAAGACAAATACGGTCTAGGATGCCTACTTTCAAAAAAAAACTAAAAAACGCAAAAGGGCTTGAACCTAAACCTGTATTAACTTGCGAGGCTAACGCACTAGCCACTGCACCACATCTTAGCGGCGATTTTGGCATTTTGACCACTTCTCCTTTGACGCGAAAATCCTTCATAACTTTTTTCAGAGAAACGATTAGCAAAAACAGAAGTCAGATTAGGAATCAGCGCTTCAAGACGAGTGTAATAATTTACATCCCATCCTAAAAGGTCACGGACATCAAGTATCGTTTCCTTGTAAGATCACTAATTTTTCTAACAATGGTGATAGGGCTAATTCAAATAAAACAAGTGTCTGACTTCAGTTCCTTATCTAACAGTACTATATACATTAGACTCACTCATGGTAATAAAAAAATTCGTACAAAAAAAGTTCAACTCAATATTCTTCCCTCTCTTGCTCTAACAATCCCCACATTCAAGCAACAAACCTAATTGGGTCCAACTATGCAACTTTGAAAATTTCAGTATTTTCTTTGTGCAAATTCTTCCATCACGGAGAATGTTACGGCGGGTATTAATGTCAGTGTATAAAATTTCTCAGTTCAAAACTTCTCGTTTTCTTTTCTAAGGCATTGTGTTACTCTTCCTTTCCCGGATACCCTAATACAAACAATTTCGCTCGATTCTTTATGAAATCTTTGCGCAGTTTGTACCGCTATCCAAACAAAAACCACCTTCTGGATATCCTGGCCATATTTGCAATTTGATAACCAAAAAACAAAACTCTTTCTCGTTTGCCCAAATCCACAAATAGATCCTCGCTACAGGAAAGTTTGTCTAGACTTGAACCACCATCTCAAAAAATATCTATCTAATTACGAACTTCGCCTCTCCACGCGGGGAAGCACAGAATTTTTCGTTACTACAAGGTCAAAGTCAAAGGCGGGATGAAATTAACCGACTTTGTTAGATAATCTGGAGATCTGGGGAAATCCGAAAAAGGTGCACATGCTTTGGGGCTTTCTTTTCTAAAGTATTTGCTCATGGTGTTGACGAAGCTTTGATGGAAGTGTTCAAGAAATCGCGTATCTCCCTGAATATTGTGGTGACGTACAAGTCACTACTGAAAGCGTCAAAGATATTGAGTAAACTCAAGTCGGTGGTTACAGCCACTTACGATTTCCACAGATATGTAGTATACAGAAAGTGTGCAGTATACCACTTGCTTTTCCAGTCTCATACATTTAAACTGTCTTTCTCCACAGTGGTGTAGCGCCCAAAATCTGGAAAGAGGCTTTCGTAACTCCAGTTTCCAAAAAGGCTGTCAACACCATATACAGGGTGGGGCAAAAGTCTGGGAGCCTAGTACCTTTTCAGATGAAATCAGAAGGAAAGTGCCTGGGAACAAATTGGTGCACACATAAATCGAACCTTTACTAATACAGCGCTGCTTTCAAATTTTGAGATTGCCTCTTCTGGCTTCAAAGCAGCCCTTTGAAATCTTGGCGAGTCCGCCTGTCATGACACGCAGACAGTCGTGATGATATTCGTCCCACTCCTTCACGATGACTGTTTCTCTCACCAGGCAAATACAGGGTGTCCCAAAAAAAATGTTAACACTGTTTGATCGTTAATAACTCCCTTGCTTTCAAGTCTTTCGCCGAGGTTTAGGTACCATTCTGTAGAGCGAGGATAAACTTAGATTTACAGTATCGAGCGGATCATCTAAAGCTCTTCGTTACTGTAGAATTACGGTAGGAAATTCCAGCATGTGGAACCGTCATGAAATATGCCCTCTGACAAAATTTTTTCTCAAAAGATCTGAAAAATCGTGTACTAGGGTTTTCGCGCATGCTGATTTTACTACACAACTTTTTGCAACTGTTTTCAGCTTTTTTGACGGTGTAATCACATTTTTGACACATGCTGAGAAGTCAGTTATTACACTTTACCTAGGATAACTTCGAAAAAAAAAGTATCATAACGAAACGAAAATCTCATATCCGAAATCAGCTGCTTTCATTACCATAGTACAAGAGATTTTGGCTTGTTTGGCTCTGTTCCAAAGCAGAAAATGGGCTTTAATGGCTTAAAATCCTTGTCAAATTTCCTACCGTAATTCTACAGTAACGAGGAGAGTTAAATGATTCGCTCGATACTGTAAATCCAAGTTTATCCTCGCCCTACAAAATGGTACCTGAAGCACGGCGAAAGACTTGAAAGCAAGGAAGTTATTAACGATCAAACAATGTTAACATTTTTTTGGGACACCCTGTATGTTGCATGATAGAGCAAGCTTTTGGCTACAAGAAATTGCGAGGAATTTTTCTGCAGTGTTTTGAAAAAAAGTTTTGAAATTTTTAGTGAAGACAAGTGTACTCACATACTGGAAATCTAGATGAGATTGCGCGAACGGGAGCGAAGAATCGTAATCTGAAAAGTATTGAAATTGCTTGATCGATCGAACTCATTAACTCAAGGCTTGCATAGAAGACTCATGGAAAGGTTATAGCCTAGAATTCAGTGCCTGCTGTGCCCCTGTAGCTTTAAAATTTATTCTAAAGAAAAATGGCCGCTGGCACGCAGCTGGTATTCGCAAATTTTTATTTTGCGTTCTTGAAAGAATAGTATCTGACAAACGCAACGGCTAAGAATTGATAGCGCGAAGTCTCCTCCACATTATACGCATCGAAGTGCTTCAGAATATCCCCTGTATCGTTAGTTACGAAATAAGTTGTGAAGACCAAAAATTTCGATTTTCTCGTTTTGCAGAGCACTTGTTTGTTAAATCCCACTCCTTCAAAAAACATATAGCAAGCATTTCAGCCAGCCAAAGTGTGTTTTGTAGAGGATGATCGCAGCAATATGTGGCACAAATTTGGAGTCAAAATCATCAGTAGTTTCTTGATTTACACACTGCAAAGTAGGCTCCCAGACTTTTGCCCCACCCTGTACTTTCGGCCTATCAGCATTATTCTTCTGGCAAAATTCTGTAAAACTAATTCGCAGCAAACTCTATGAATGGCTAGATGATAAACATGTCATCCTCATTGAACAGGATGGGTTTCTCCCTGGTTGTTCCACAAGTCCCTACTCCCATATTCGATTTTTGATTGGTCTACGGCTCTTAATAGTGGTAGATTGGTTGATGTTATATATTTTGATTTTTAAAGCTTTGGACAAAGTTGACCATCGAAAATTGCTTTTCAAACATCACAATTATGGCATCAGAGACTCTTTACTCCGCTGCTTTTCATCCTATCTCTCCAGAACAGAGAAATGACAGTCCGAGTGAGTTACAAATACTCTGAGCCATACCATTGCAGTAGCGGAGTACTACAGAGTGGTATCCTCTCACGCTTCGGTTACTTTTGCGGCTCTCACAAGTGCTGCAGACGAATTTTTGTCCAGTGTTTTGTATCTTTGGAAAGTGCACTTCAGTGGGAGCTGGTGTATAAAGTCTTTTGAGTAGAACTTATCTTTTAAGGAAAAAAATCCTCAAAGGATTCAGAAACTCCACTTTCGTCATAGTGCACAGATACGGGGAAGTTTGGTTTTTTGATGGAAGTTTTTCAACTGCAGATCGCAGTTTTCATTGTAATTCACTAAATAGGAAAAACTGCACTCTATCCAGATACCAAACTGTTGTTTTACATGCAATTACACCATGAAAATGAATCTTAGGAAGTCAAAGATCTGAGCTTTTGGAAATTTAGTCATTTGGGGCATAGCTTTCTTTTACTACCGGTAGAAAATCCTGACGTTCGACGACGTTTGATAGACGAAGCTTTGAACTACTTCCCCACAAACGATCATAGATAGGAAACAACAAGAAAATTTTTTTATTAGAATTTGCATGCCAAAACGAACTTATTTTTTAGCAAGCCTAGTAGTCCAAAGTGAGGAATGTGTGCTGTCCGCGGGTGTAGCCGAACACATCAGCGATCACTCGGACGCTACTGCGGGTGTTCGCTTATCACATCAGTCGCTCATTCACTTCCTTGTTCACGCTGACCCCTTGTATTCGTTATTCCTGCGTCATTCCTCCGATTATTGCTTCAGTTTTACTAAAATATGTTGAGGAAGTCAATTTGTAAAATCTCATGATGGAATTCTATTGATTCAATCGGACATCTATGAATTTTATCTAGTTCCCTTCCTTAGAATGAAGCCTGTCCTATCGGAATGAGGCAAAAATTTTTCTTGTCACTTCTTCATCTTTTAACTTTTCCATGCCAGCGACTCTAATCCATTTCAAATGCTTTTTTCTCACAAAAATCGCAACATCTGCATTTTACGGGCTCCACATTCTTCGAAGTATTGCTGTCCGCCGTCTCCTCTGACATTGTTTCCCAAACATTTCTTTCTTCCTCCCCTCCCCCCTCACTCTCTCTTTCTCTTCCTCCCCCACTCACATTTTGCAAAGTACAAAGCCCGAGCACGTCAGCCTGATATTGATTCGCATTAGAAAACCTCATTCATTGCATTTTGTTCCGTTCTTCTGGCATTTCGCTATTACTTTCACACTTAATCGATGTCTAGTCTTTATTGCACTGTTTTTTCCTTTCAGAAGTCATTCTTCTCATTCAAAGGGCCAATGACAAGATTTTTCTATTATTTTGCATATGGAAGTAATTTATTGAAAGAAAGGATCCGAGTTCAGGTGTGTTCTCCTTCTTCCTTTTTCTATAGTCTTCTTCTCATTCAAAGGGGCCAAAGACAAGATTTTTCTAATATTTTGCATATGGAAGTAATTTATTGAAAGAAAGGATCCGAGTTCAGGTGTGTTTTCCTTTTTTCTCCTTATATTCTGGTAGTAACTAATAATCAGTTCGCTTGAGTTGTAATAGAATTTCTTCTTCGGACTATTTGTAACCAGAAAGAATATCCACGAAAATGGCCTATTTTTTGAAATATTGATTTTTTCTGCAGCAGTAAGAATACATTTCCAATAATTAATGACACTAATTCTTCAAACGAACCAATCACATGTAATTTTTTGCAATAATTATGCAATAATTATCGAATTTATCTTTCTTCAGATCAAAGGCGCTGAATACGAATGCAATGGAATCTTGAAAGATTATGTGGTGGACTTCGTATCACATGGAAACCGATGGCATGGTGCACTGGCAACGATAAAATATAAACAAGGATCCGAGGTCAATTTTCTAAAAAGTGTACCGTTTGGCTCAAACTGTGGTTATGACACAAATACGCTATCTGAAGGGGTCTATCATTCATTTTGCAGGTTCATGGTTGTGTTTGGCGAGTTCCAGAGGATTTTGCTGATGAATTAGATGTGCAAGAGGTTCGTTATCACCGGCTGACGGGTAGGTAGTTAAGTTCCCATTTTTCTTGAGAATTTTGGAAGCCGGCCGTTTTGCGCCATTACAGTGTGCTACCGTAAATTTGAGCGACTTGTTTGTTGTAGTGTAAAGTTGCACTTAAAACTGCTTTGACAGAAAGAAATTTAGAATCACTGCAAATGGCACATTTCCAGGACAATTACTATACAATATGACAATGTCATTTCACTTCAGTGCGAATCCAGTGCCAGGACCGTGTCATAGACTGTCGGACATATCAATTCTCGGACGAAAAGGCACCATCGGAGCTGCCTTCACCTCATTACAAAACTGTTATTCTGGCCGGCGCTGAAGAGCATTCATTGCCTCCGGACTATATCAAAAGTTCGTTTTCACTTTCTAAATGTATTTATTTCAGTGTTTACCCAGGGGTTTAGCTGCACAAGTTAATTTGCAAAATGATTCAAACAACTATTGCTTTCATAACCATTTTCAGATTTTTTCGTACTTTTATATGTTTTTAACCATTATAAATTTGAATTTGATTTTGAGCGTATACTTTTCTTTTCAGAATTAGCTGCATTTTCTGACAACGGGTACAAAGGACGAGTAGAAGTTGATGTGGAAGCAATCAAACATTTGAATGTAGATGCATAATTATTATGTTACAAGTGTGAGCTTACATACTGGTGAATGTCTAATAGTTGTTGATTGTAGGATTCCAAGAACCTTTTTTTTAATTAGGAGCAAAGATATAAAGATTTTTGCTAGGTGCTGAATCACATGAAGGTTCTAATGAAGTTGGAAGAAAATAGAGAACTTCAAAATCATTCACTCCATTGCAAGGTTTGAAAGTTATGTCATACTCCAGCTGTAAATCGTTCAGGGCTGAACGCAAGCGGCGAATTAAACGATGGTTATCTGTCATTTGTTGTTGATAGAGATATGAACGCGACGTTTATCAAAGATATTTTTCTTGTTTATTTCTTTTCTTCATTTAAAAGCCTATTACGTTGCAAGTTATTTGTAACATGTTTTCGTTTGCTGATCTGTTCGATTTTTTCGTTTTCCGCCCACAAGACACCAATGCTAAAAGCTTGGAATTTTGTGGCGCAATCTCTGTTTGGCAGATTTTGATCAGGGTTGAATTTTAGCATGCCTTGCCCTTAAAGATCATCCGTAAGGCCCTCTTGCTAAGATTTTTTTATGTTCTATTTCTTGCTAGGTAGTGGTATCCCCTTTCTCCACTTCCTCCTCTCTGGGATATTTTTGTTCGCTTTTGAAAGATCGCAGCGAGGGGGAAGATTGTAACAATGAGACCAGAAAATGGATGAAAAACTTTGGTTATTTTCAAAGAATGGTGGCGTCGAATCAATAAGGTTATTTTCCTTGGTAAACTTATTGCTCGCATCCCTTTTTCGTCTATGAGAGTGTCAATTCGATCATACTATAGAAAATGTCCCCGTGATCATCAAAAATCAAGTTTTGAACTTCCACATCATGGGCGTCATAATAGTCGTCTAAGGTGATGTGCCTAAAACAACAGTCTCACCCTACAATCCTGTTAGTATTCGTTGTGTAACCATGTTTTTCTTCTACTTTGCTTACGGCAGCGATCTATTGAAACAGCATATACAGAATTTGGTAAGTTCTTGAAACTCAGGTTGTGTTGTAATGATTTTTCGGGCCAACTCTTTCTTATGAACGTGGGTGCTTGCTTTGGCTTCCTCCAAAAACAATTTTCTCGGATCTCTATTTACTTATTTGATAGATCCAAGGCGTGGAATTCGAATGCATCGGTGTTGTAAAAAACTATAAACTGGTTTTCGTTGGAACTTCGAAGCGATGGCATGGTGGTCGCGCGACCATCGCAGAAAAACGAGGAGCAGAGGTCGGTGATGGTAAAAAGCTAAGAAAATCAAATTGTACTAAAAACATTAGGTCCATGGATGCATATGGAGGATCCCTGACGAATTCTCAGATGAACTGGATAGACAACAAGATGGCTGCAATAGATTGACGGGTGGGGTAATCAACAAACTCTTTGGGTGTTTTTTAAGCTATATTGTCAAAGTCTATATCTTAGCTAGTCATTGGTAGAATTTTTCCTAGCAATTGCACTACTGAGCTAAATCTTTTTCTTGTAGTCCGTACTTATAAAAAGTTAGTAGAATTTCACAGTCTTTCGTAATCTCACTTCTGCAAAACCTGCTCAGCCACAGAGAGCTCTCATTTCATTTTTGCCACCAATCCATCTATAAAAAAATTTTGCAGTATGATTTTTCAGTTCCAATTGAGACTCCTGATTGCCTGATTGAATGTCGAACATATCAATATGCTGACAAGAAAGCAAAAGCCGAGAATCCGTCACCTCATCTGAAGACTGTGATTCTGGCCGGAGCCGTTGAACACGCACTGCCACCAGCTTACCTTAAGGGTAAGCCAATAGTTCTTTTTTGCTTTCAATTAATTAACGAGTGTTGGGTACTGCGAACCATGATTTCAGAATCGGATTATCTCACTATTTTTATTTTGGTAATACTCAGGTGTTTTCATAAAGTAATGAGCTAATAAGTAATGGTAAATGCCGCATCAAAATTAGCAAAAATGATTCTGCGACCAAAGGCCGATGAATTGCTGAGTTTTTTGGAAAACGTGATTATCCAATATCCTCCTAATGGCAGATTTTTTCAGAACTTGCAAAAATTCCTGACAATGGTTACAGAGGACGAGTAGATGCAGATATCGACGTGATCAAGCATTTGAACTCAGCTTAATTTGAAAATTTTCTACATTAAAATTTATTACGAAGATTCTGTGGTTATTTGTGAAAACTAATTTTCCAACTAGTTTCCATAGACAATTATTCTGATTTTCGTCCATCAACATCCTTTCCCTTCTCAAGGAAACCCTTCTATGTACATAAAGTTTCAAAAGCAGGTAACTTTATTACAGGCTTTGCGAACATTTAACAAAACCTACATACTAGTATGAGTATATATATTTACACGGGAAAAATTGAATCTCATTCAGCAGAGATATGTGAGGCAAAATAAAAAAGATCCAAACGGTACAGAGTATGGAATTCACATGAAGTGGGAAGACAAAAACGAAAATTATTCCTTCTTCTTTTCGCCAGTGTATCCGGTGATGTGAACTCGTCCAACTGTAAAAGAAATGGATATTCATTACATAAACTCGAGGAAAGACTTACTTTCGCCCTCCACATCGTCGATAACAGGCTCATGTTTAGGTTGCTCTTTGGGCTTTTCTGCTTTTTTCTCAGCTTCTGCTTCTTGTCCTATAAAACAGACATTCTATAGCAAGAAGAATTTGATAATTTGATGGGCTCACCTGCTCCAGCATCAGGTTTCTGGAATTTATCCTTCAACAGCATACCAAGGGTACCCAGTCCAGCGGTAATTTTTGCGATATCATCCTGGTTGATGGATGGATGGTTACCCTGCTGAGCTGGAATGGCAGTCCTAAGAACTCGGAAACGCTACATTGTTAGTCATTCTGGTAGAGTTTTTAGTGACACACTCTTTGAGACATTTTGAATTGTTAGCACAACACACTAAAATTCACCTTATGAAGCATTTGCTGTGAGGGCCACGGATATTACAAAGCTAACTTTTATGGACAAAAATTAGTCGGGATGTGAAAAATTAGTTTAGTGGATGTGTTCCACCTGGTACTTTTCGAAACAATCTTTAGTCATTTCCAGCTCCTACCATTTCTAGATTTTGATTGTAAATGGCTGAGCAATAAATTTTTTATTGACTGATTGATTCTTTCGAACAATAAACGCAGCTGACTTTATAATCCAACGCTTTCCCCCCTTTTCCTCTCCCTCATTCACCTGGAAGTTAGAAACGATCCTAGATAGGTTGCTTTTGCTCGTTCTTCGAAAAAAGGAAGAACTTGGATGAAAAAGAAACAGAGCAAATGATACGATCTAATTTCAAGATTCCACAAGTAGCCCCTTTCCTATTTTCCATGAATTTTCCCGGTGATATGAACATCCCTGATTACGTTTCCACAACAAAGGTGTATTTACATATTCATTAAAAATGCTCAAAAATGCAGGGAATACGATCACAGTCTATTCGATTCACTCTTACGGTAACTACGTAATCGACGGCAACTAGTCCATCGCTGAAAGAAAGGTTATTCTCATCGACGAAACACCTCACAACGTTTGAACTGCTAAATAGTTTGATATGCTAAATGTAATTATAAAACATCAGAATATTCCTCAAGAAGTGCAGCGTCCCTATTCTTCTCTGAAAATTGAGATTTAATAAATATATCGGAGTGTAATAACTAACTCTGCTGAGTCTGTGATTGTGCTGGTTCATTAACGGCTTTGCCGAGATCTTTGGCTATATTCATGAGTCCACTGAGGAAGTCGCTACCTAGAAAAAATTAACTCATAGTAGTTCTCAACTCTGCGTTTGCAAGATAATAAAATCTGTTTTGTAAAAAAGTAGGAAAAATAAATACCTCCAGCTGCTTGTGTACCTTGTTCACCAGATTTTGCTGCTGTATCTGGAAAAAATTGAGATCAAACGATTTTCATCCGTCAAGAGCGATATTGTATACACAATTCGGAAAAATAGCAGTACAAGAAGTATATGTGCTTCCAAAACTCACTTGCGATTCTATTTGAAATTTATGCAATATTTTTTCATTTACAACTTCTTGAACAAAACCAGAAGTCAAGCGTAATCAGAAGGTTGGATAAAAGCTAGTACTCGAGAAAAGCAGTAGTATCTAACAGAATATGGTCGAAAATAATGTCAAAAAGAGGTAAACAAATACTGCCTACCTCCTGCCATAGATGGCACCTGCACTTTTCCTCCTTGTGCGTCGAGTTTTGCAACTGAAACAAATCATCCGTTCTGATTTTTGTCCTAGATTAGTAAAGACTTACCTTCCTCCTCAACCTGTTTTGGTGCCTCCGGTGAGAAAGTCTTGCTTGCAATTGAGCCAACTGAAAAACAGTATTTGTTCGTACCGATCGGTAATCTCATAAGGGAATTCTTGAAGATTTACTACTCAAAATAGAAACTAAATAAGATCTAATCTAATAAACTCAAATAACATTGTCAAAAAGTTTATAGAAAAGAAACAAAAATTCTAAAAACTAGCGTGGAATGATGTTTTCTGAGAAATAAGCAGAAAGAAAAATCGACAAATTCTCCCCTAGATGTTTTTAGTAAAAATCATAAGAGAACACCAAAGCCAGGTGTTAGCAACTCTCCCAGCATTCCTAAATGTTTCTTTCAGCACTAGACGTGTCCATACAAATCGTGGATGAATAGAAGAGATGAAACGGTGAGTTTTAATAAAAAAATGGTTTTTGAATTAATTGATCATTGAAAAAAGGGACAAAACGAAGAACTTCCAAAGTGTTCGTAAAGGCGCTATGGAACTCTGAAAAATCAAGTCATCCCGGGTGAACTAAGTTTCAAAACATTTTTTTCTGAGGCGTAACTCATTGCAGCAGCCCTTCCTCCACACGAAAAAAATTATTTATGGAAAACATTTTTTTCTGAGGCGTACTTCCACCTGCTGATGAAGCAAAGATTGATCGTGCCTTTACTCAGTTCATAATATTTAGGAGTATACATTTATAAACTCTAAGAAAGGTCTCTTCCTTTTCCTGTATTTCAAAACAAGCACCTTGTAAAATTGAATAAATTTGTACCTTGAATAATCAAAAAAAAATTGTCAGATTCCACACATCAAGATCAATGACTCACCAAGGGGACCAAGTACCGACAGTAGTTTGGTGTAGTCTTCTGTGCTTACTTTGGATTTGTCGTGACTGGCTGCTAGAAAATAAAGAACCATAGCTTACAACATGTGAAAAAAAACAACAAAGTCAAAATCAAGAGAATGTTTAGACGAAAAGAAAACAAAAAAAAGTTTTAAGACCCACCTGCAGCAGCCTCGGGTTGTACTCCCGCCTGTCCGCCTTGCTGATCGGTAAGTTTCATGCCGACTTCTTTGGCGATGTTCAGGAAGTTGTTCAAGAAATCGTGCTCTAAAAGAAATTCGTTGCTACAATTGTTAGCATTCATTGCACTTGTATGAACGAAGTCAGAAACCAAAAAAATGTATTCAAAGTATATTTTTCCAAACATTATTTTCCAGATAATGTTGGACATACCGGCAGCTGTACCTTGCTGTCCAGTAGGCTGCTGGGGAGCAACACTGGTTGCTGTAATGCAAACGAATTTAAAGGAATTTTATGGACGATAGGCTAAAAAATTCAATATTTTAGCCTACATACAAAACTGATGGCAATCATCGAAACATGCCTATAAAGTATTGAAATTTAAAAAGTCGAACAGTCGGACATTTTTAGCTGACGAAAAATCTACTTTTGAAGTTAGATCATACAATTCTGCGGCCAACTTACTTCCCTCTCCGCCTGCTTTTTCGCTTGCTGCTTCGCCACCGCCAAAGGCTTTGCCAACTGAAAAAGAGCGATGTTTTTTGAAATAGCAAATAAAGCTACAACGTGAATAAAAAATTTCACAACAATAAGCTTCTGGAACTTGGTATGGCTTACCGAGTGGAGCCAATCCTTGGATGAATTTAGAGATGTCGTCAGATCCAAGTTGTGATTGGGGCTGTTGCTGTGGTGCAGCTGAAGAAGAAAGGAAAAAATTAAGAATGAATTAAAAACATTAATTTTTTAAGATAACACAACAGTGATGATAGCATGATAGATCATGATTTGAAATGCTCAACTTAAAATTTCCTGGTTTTAAAAATTTCCTAATGAGATACTTCCTTTTGGAAGAGAAAACAAGATTATATGACACAACTGCTGGACAACCAAGAGTGAATTAACAAATTTCAATAAACATTGAGGCCCACACGTACAGATTTCTCTACAATAGCTATGATCTTTCAAAAAAGATTGCTTAATGGAATAAAAACAGCATAGAAAGTATTAAAAAATCTGGCATATTTATGCATAGTTGTAAAAAAAATATGACAAATCTTACAAAGCGTATCCGGTTTCTGTTGTTCTCCCATTGCTTTGTATGCATCTTTGGCAACATTCATAAGTCCACCGAGGAAGTCTCCACCTGAATTTGGACCCTTAGAGGGTATTTTTTAAAAATAGACCACTTACCTGCTCCGGGAGCCTCATTGGTCTCCGTGGCCTGTGCGCCAACCAACTTCGCTTTTCCAGCTTCGGCAGAAGCTAAAAGCAATTTTTCTAGTGTCATTAGAGGGGTACGGGGACCAGTTCTGTAGAGTTATTGTATCTTTAGCTGCTAAGACCTTACCTTGATCTCCTCCTTCCTTCTTATCCATTAATGTGTTGACTAAAAATAAGCATTTCAAAATTAATAGAACTAAATGAATCAAAAATTACCCAAAGCTCCAATTCCCTTCGAGATCATAGCAATATCTTCCTGTTTGAAACCTGGATTCTGTTGTGGCTCTGGAGCTGAAAGTACTTTAATGAAGTCCTCAATTAAAAATGGCAAAAAACAAGGGACAAACGTGGTGCAGGAGTCTTGTTATCCTCATTAATCACCGATCCAACTTCTTTAGCGACATTGATGAGTCCACTGAGGAAGTCTCCGCTACCACCACCCGAAGCAGAACCCTCTGAAACTTCGAATTCTGAAATAGTATGTGAGTCTCGCGAATTTGATTGTTGTACCTCCTTGTTGAGCTGGCTTACCAGAAGGAGCTTGCGCTGGTTGATTGGCAGCATCGGCTAAGCCTTCTTTGACTAAAAGTTCGAAAAGATCTTTGAAGGATCTATTATATAAAACTGATACATGCACTATACTACTAACAAAACGGTCTATCATACATAGAAAACATGGTCATCTCCCTTGACTGAGTTTAATTTTTGGGCTTGGCCCAGGTGGCTTATAAGCAAGCTGGATATCGCTTGGACAAAAAGCAAGGGGGATATCGTTTCTGTGTGTCCGAAAAAGCACAAGTTAGATAGGTTTTTTTTAGCAATTTGTTTTTCATTCATTTGAAATAAGGGTCAAAGGGGACTTCGTAAAATTTAGCACAAGTCAAGGAAACATTGTTTTTTGCATTTTCGGAAACCCACCTCGTGCCGAGCCCTGATTACTTTCCTAATGCTTAAAAACTTAGGTGAGCATCAATAGTAGCCTAGTGAAAAAGTTCTGACTATTAACTCTCAGTTCCAGTGGAAGAAAGTACTATGATCTCAACAGTTTCTTATTTTCCAGCAAAATGTGATTCGTAGAGAAATATTCTATAAAATTTGCCTAAAGGAGAAGAAACTAGGAAAATCGCGTGTGTAAACAAAAAAAAACCAGATATCTCAAATCAGAATGCACTCATTAGTGGGCCTTACATAGAAATGAATGCATTCCACGAACCAAAAACTGAGGAACAAGAAATTTCTGTAGGCATCAAGTCACCCGAAATCCATTACTTCCCAAGCATAGTAATAAATCTCACTTACTTTGATCGAAGATTTGTGAGAACATGTTGTGTTAGTTCTGAAACAGCAGGTTGGAGAGTTGAGAATATATCAATGTGAACGAGACTTTGTGACGGAATATGCGACACAATTCACGGACAAAACTAGATTTGCATGAATGGAAGCGAATTTATTTAGATAAGCCATATGGCAGACAGATGAAAAACTTTCTGCAAAATTCAGCAAAATCGATAGATGCAGGTGAGTTTGATAAGCTCATCTTTTGAAATAAACTTCACAAAAATCAGTTCTATATTGACAAAATTCTGTGGTTCAAAAGCAAATTCATCAAAAGCGATCTTATTCTCAATGTCACTGAAGTGTATACGTAATGTATGGCTGACTGAACACATGTGAACAATTCGCAACTTGCATGATACTTGAAGCGGAATTTGGGGAACAAAAGAAGGTTCAAAATTCCCAAAAATTCAAAAATATCAGCACAAAAACAACAATATCCTTGATGCTACAATCAGTTATTTCATAAAACCTGTCTGCGAAGGGATGATCCGATTTATTGATTCTAGTCAGCCTTCAATAATGCTATTTCAGAAATATGTCACAGAAAATTGGAATTACTTTGAAAATGGGCATCAAAAAATTGTAATCCAGTGATTTATCCAGTGTATCAAGAAACTGCAAGAGCTTCTGAAAAGGAGCTGTGAAAATTTTTAGGTTCATAACAATTTTTGAAGCCATGAATGGTAAATAAAATCATCTATTACATGATGAGCGGATCTTAGCATAGAAAATCAAATCAGTCTTGATGTAAAACAGAAGAAAGAGGAAAACCTAGACATCGTTCATAGCATATTCATTTACAAGAGGTTATTTTTTACAGAGTAAAAAAACTGCACATAGTGACTAAATCTATCTACACCAGTAATCTGCAACCATTTGACATTTTGACAGACAGTAGCGATGAGTGATATCATTTTTAGAGAAATTGGGATTGCTCAAGAGAATAACAAGCATCACAACAGGTTCACGTGGAATAGAGAGGTGACGGCCACAAGTTCATGTTTATTTACGACGCCACTGCTGCAAAGGACAAGATGATATGAAAGTTCGTATGCTCGGTCGAAATGTGTGTTTCACACTAAAGAAATCAAGTAGTAAATTTGAAATGCAAATTCGCACTTGCTGCAATGAAAATGAAAAAACTTCTTTTTCATTTTTTTCAACGTTTCATTTAGGATAAAGCCGACCTATCAGGTGAGCTTGCACAGGAAGTTCGCAAACAAGTAACTGCAAAATTTGAACAGTTCCCATGGCGAGCGGAACGCTTTTTTTCAGGAAATCGTCAAGCTGCATTGCATTTGCAGTCACCGCAGTCACAATCATAAATTAAGCAGCCCAAGTGGCCCTACTGAAACGAGCGACTCCGATTATTGCATTAGTGTAAACAAGCGGACGCACATGGATACATAGCTGATGATATACAGATTCCCATGATTTGAACAAATGGAGAAAATAAAAGTAAAAACTGCATAGGCTTGGGTAGTTGCCTCCCATTATGTCGCTATTTTTCTTCAACGACAGTTGGAGGCAGTAAAATATGGGCGCCATTCATCAAGTTAATTGTAGGACTAACGCTTTGTTCGATACTTTCAAAACTTCCCTATTTTGGCAACATTTTTCTCAAACGTTCATTTCCACGCATAATTTTCATGTGCAGTGGGGGGCTTCAAGAACGTATACACTTTTTGTTAATATCTTGTTAATATCTTGCCTTTCTCACTCTTACAAGATACCATTCTCAAATGGCTTTGACTTGGATTACAGTATGATGCTCACCGAACGCTCTTCATTATTGTAGATTTATAGAGGATGTAGCGGGTAGCTTTTGAGTATAAAATCTTTTCCTTGCGCCAAAAAATCTGTAAAGTCTGGAACATTATCACTTTATCCTGGTTTGCTTTTACAGAGGGAAAATTCATGGTGTAGCACATTATATAATATTTTTAAATCCTTCCCAGATGATTTGAAAAGGTAGCCGACCAAGTGATTGTACTGAATTTGCCCCGAACCTTGCAATCACTATAGGAAACATTTAGGCTCTACGCAATGTATGCGAAAACAATACAGGGAGGGCTACCGTTTATTAGCCATGGAAAGACTATTGCGAGTGATAAATATCTCAAGGAACTTACTGTTCTAGCAAGCAGTACACACATATTGAGGTACTTATTTTGTTTAACCTGAAGCATGACATGTTTCGTAAAAAATGTAAGAAATTGGCAAATGTGGCTTTTTTCTGAGAGCTCAATCGAATAATCACAAAGACACACAGTGAACGTAAGTGCAGCGAATGAGGCCACAAAGCATCACTGAGATGTGTTTTTCTTCCGACAAGGGCCTATTGAAGGGTTCACATCAATACGGCTGAAGCGGACGCGTAGCTGACTATAGTGGGATAAACAAGGCAGTATAGAAAATCCTTATGCAATCAGCGCTTAGTCGAGTAGTTTGTAATAAACAAACTCCTGGAGGGCATTTGTTTAGAAGAAAATCTCTGTAACCAGTTGTAGAATTAATAGCAAGGGATTTATGCATCTGAATCAATTGTGCACTCGATTTTTTAAAGTGATTTAAGTATTTTAATTGATATTTTCCTAATAATTTGAAGCATATATGCGATATGTACTTACTCTGAGTTAATAAACCACTATTCATGAATCAATCCTTAGATTGATTACTCGAACCTCTTGCGTCAACTATTTCATTAGTCTGAACTCAAAGCATTTCAGTCATTACCAGATCAGGAATATAAATTGACTGAGCTAAAGTTTTCCCACAGTACGAATTAGAATGTAGTATGAATCAGGAAAATCTTCATTCTAATGAGAGCTGAAAAAATTTGAATCTGCAAGAAAACCGGAATTGATAATAGACGAGAGCAGAGAAACATTTGAAACCTGCAAGAAA